GATGAAACCGTGTCCCATGAGAAGTTCATATCTCCAGTCATCAAAACAAAGGCCGCTACAGCAAAGTTTGCTCTAGTTTTCTATACTAAGGAAGGGGTCTAACGCTTGGTTGTCGATTAAAAATATCTTTCACATTCCTCCCACAATTTGGCGTACGTTGCTTGCAAATTGGATCAGAAACCAGGCTGAAGAACGAATATATACAAGCTTAACATAAACAACAGTACACTGCCTGTCCCAGAAGGTGTTCGAAACATTCACTTATAAACAGACCTATATATCATCGCCACAGGATCTTTGATTGGGCTCTTATACTACCGAAATTAAAGTAGTGCAACTGCTTTACTAACACTAATTAATATAAATTCATATCTAGCGACATTTAAGTTTAGTTGCAGTCTCCAGGTTCTGTATACTCTCAGTGAAGTCCGGGCCCTAATGTTTTCTTGTCCAATAATGGACACTACTTATACGTTTAAAATGTAAATTGAAAGTGACTGAGGCCTATTCCAGAGGTCCCGGGTTCTATCGCACCCGCTTCCAAACGTCTTTCGGTATGGTGACCAGCACCTGAAGGAAGGTAACCTTCCTAAACGTAGTGAATGCCAAATATGCCTCATACAATGGGCAATAAAGAAGCCACCTTTACTCCGAGTCCGGCGAAATAAGAAATCGGGTGCGAGATGAAGCCTCAAACTTACGACCGAGGGTATGATAATGTGCAGCTTTATCAGGGCTATTTCACATCTCGTGCGGAGATGACATGAGTATGAAGCTGTGGTGGAATGACGGTTAGGAGAGGGAAACCGAAGGAGGGGAAAACCTCACTTTCACTCGCCCGGGACTGACCCCGGGTCTCCGCGGTGAGGAGCCAGCGTGTAGCCGTATAAGCTATTTATAGCACGCCCTATAGTGGGCAGTGTCAAACATAATATTGGTCCAAAACTTCGCTAAAATGTGCGTGGTACATGTTTATACTGGGCATGTGTTTCCTGTCGGGATTCAAGACAATGTTTTAAAGCGAAATCAGAAATGATATAAGAGCACAATAGATTTTCCTTTGTCAGAAAAAATCATGCAAAGATTTGTATCAGTGAAATTACATATTTGATAATATAAATAAACAAATTTGTATTGTCCTGCCACACTATTTTTATCAGCAGTAAAAGCATATTTTTTTCACTATTGTTCCTTATTATAGTAACAAAAGTGCTTCCTAATTATGACCTAAAAGCCCCTAGAAGGGGGGAAACTTTTTAAGGCGTGTCTCGCTACAATTCGTGTGACTGAGCATTTCCTTTAGGTTGTCGTTCGACATGTAGAAACATCGACCCAATTTCGACCAAATTCAGTACGAGTCCGTAAAATGTATGGACTTCTGTTCAAAATATAACAAAGATTACGAGGATTTAAATATATTGGCAAAGTCGAAACAATATCTAACCTTTTAACAAGGCGAACATTTGGTATTACCTTTTTACCTGTACAGATCTGGCGTTTTCCAGGCAAGAACAGTCCAATACCACATCCGTCACAACACAAGTTACCCACAAATGCGATAAATTACTTTCAGAGGGAAGACGACAAAGAATAATTTCTGGACCTACACAACAAAAGTAATGGACTGTCGGAATTCAGATAATGACAAATGTATTTTCTCGCGGTAATTAAATCAAGGTCGAATGTAAGAGATAAGAATCGCGTCATTTTGTTGGGAAAAACAGCGTAATTAAGCCACTTGGAAGACCGAGACGAAGAAAGGAAGACAGTATTAAATTGGATCTGACAAAACAGGTTCTAGTGTTTCAGATTACGCATATAATAGACTTAGAATACCGTTCCAGAGCTGGGTTGTTTCTTTCGAAAACAAGGTTTTAAGTTATTTTGTACCTGACAGTGCCCTGGTCTGCTTGCTAGTTGGCAACACAGTTCCTAGAAGAGGCATTCTCAAATATTACCTAAATCTCAACATGGCTGTCGAGTAAATTTTATAGGCCTACTTAGCTTTCGGTTATAAACGTTAAATACAGAACCACTGCCTACAGCTTGGCCTGAAAACATAGTAAAAATGTCCATGGTGGTCTTCTGGATTGTGACACCGTGTGATATTGCAGGTGTTTACCAACGTTCCGGAGGATCGTGTAGCCTCCATCCGAAGAAGACCACCATAGACATCTACGAGTTTGTGCGAATTCTTTTTTTTTATTTTGTACCTTTAAAGTTATAACCACGGCGAGGGTGCGAAACCTTTAAGTTTTGTGTAATTCCAGCAATCATGCACTTGCCACCCCCCGTGCCCTTAAAGACGTACCGCTGGGAGGATCTGCGACGAGCCCGGGTTCGAGGAGGCTACCCCTGGACTCACCTGGACAAACCTCCTCTAGACAGCGACGCGTGGAAAAACATAAGGTATGTTACCACGCATTCGATACCAAAAGTTATAGTTACAGAGCTAGTGAGTCGAGACATGTTCTGTTAGGAAACAAAAAGGAAATAAGGACGGAGTGGTGGAAATGAAGAAAGAAAGTCGTTAACCCCTCAGTTAAAGAGAAATGTTTTTTAATTACCCCTGAGTAGTACAAGGTGGAGCGAAGAGGCTGTACAGTGGAGACGCGCGCGGAACAAAATAGAGGTGGTTTGCTGTTAGAATTCACTGGCATCCGAAGCTTTGAGATTCCATGGACCGTTTCATACGACATAATACATGTATTTAATCGGTCCCTGTAACTATTAAGAGTATTCAACAATTTCTTCTCTTAATTTTATGCTTTGCAAGGTACGACGAAAAACGTTTTTGTCCATAAAATTAAACTCACGCATGATAGGACTCGCAGAATATATCATAAAAGACTCAGAGAACTAAAAATACATACGAAATTTCAGTTAGGTTCTTAAGCTTTCAAAATTAACGAAACAAAACCATAATAAAATTACCTTGTCAAAATTTGGTGTAGGCATATTTATTGAGTTCGAATTAAATCGGGTAATCATCGAGCTGACGGATGGACATGAACCTAATAGGTGGTTTCTGAAATGAACTTAAAACTAGTCTTATACATTCACTTAACATAAATAGGATTTCAGGTTTTCACGGCCGTGAGTCCGAAGATGGCTATCTTCTGGGTTGTAGCACCGTGTAGTCTGGCAGAGGTTTGCATCCGTTTCAGAGATATTTGTTGCCTCTATCATCAGGCCGATGAATACTCACCTTTGAAACGATGGCAAATATCTATCAGACTACTCGACGCGACAACCCAGAAGACAGCCACCTTCTCACTTGACGTAAGTTTATACTGTAGCATCCTCTTGAACTTTGTACTGGTTATTATTCAATGCAGCCATCAGCCTTTTCAAGTGAAGCTGATGATGACCGTGTAGGTTGAAATATGTAGTTCAGTGGTAACATGACGTAATTACAACAAACACTGGCAAAAGTTGTGGCTGTTGAAGTAAATAATAACCCCTACTCGTCGTATCCTAAATCATTCTGTGGCATTTCATACACACCACGTTACTCGGCCGTTTGAGCCTACGTTGTAAAAAAAACACGGCGCAACACGTGAAGGCGATGTTGACATTAAGAGACGTGTACTACCCCTCAACTTCCGTTTCACTCTTTTCATCCCACTTTATCTACTACAGTCAACAGCGTATTTGTGGAAACAATGGATCTGCGCCAAAAGGTTGAATATGTGCAGCACGAACCAGAGACAAATCCGCGCCAACTATACAACTGTCTGCGACAAAATGGCGACTTCAAATAATCATCACTCGAAGTGGCTAAAATCTGAAAGAAAGATCACTCAGAAACTGGAATAGAGAGCTCCAATCCCATTCGACGTATTTGTTTTGTTCTGTGTAGGCGGAGCCCTTGCGATAGGCCCATCTCCCATTTAAGGAGCCTCACAGAATGTGAAGATTGATTAATTAATTAACTACAAAAATATAATAGGAAGGTCAACACTTAAATGTTCGTGCGTGTCCCCTAAAAATTATCAACAGCACGGCTACCCCATACATTTAATGTTTAAATTTTTAAAATGCGATATTTATATTACTCTCATATCCCAATACCGGAGCAAGGTAGAAATGCTTAAGTATCACGTCTTGAAGGCACACGTCTCTGTGGGGGCAGGGGGGGGGGGGGGAAAAAAAAAGCTTCACCTGCTTTAACCCCGGGAAAAGACCCAATTTCCCATTAGACAGGAGGATGAATGGATCCCAGAACCAGTCTGGCGAGGAGAAAAATACCTACCGGGAACAGAACCCCGGTCGTTCAGCCCGCAGTCACACCCATAGAAGGTAGCGAAACTAAACATAACACGGACATTTTGAAATATCGGCGCTGTGTCAGAAAACGTCGACCCTGGAATGCTATAAAAAACCGACAGCTTACTAACCAAAAGATGGCTGTGTTCTCGGCTGTAGCGCCATATAGACTGGTAGAAGTTTTCCAACATTTCAGATGGTCTATATGCCTCCATAATCGCTCTGAAGATGGAGGTAGCAAGCACCTCTGAAGGGTTGGTAAACTACCAGACTATACAGGGCTACGACACAGAAGACAGCTCTTCGTACTCATCGCCGTGAGAACCTCAAATACTGCTTATTAACCAGAATATTAGCCTTTACTATGCCAAGCCCAAGATATTTCACTTAGAATCACTAATCCTTCCCGTTCGAATGTGGTTAGTGTTTGAGATAAGTGAAAGAAACTAATCCCGACATCTCGCGACAGTTAAAGCTAACTGTTCGTGGTTTGTCAATAGAAGATGTGGGTTATCATGGGGGTATACTGATAGAAGTAAGTTTCTTTAGATAAAAACTAGCATTTAAAGGGTTAATATTAATTAGAGTGGTGACATTTAATGATAGAGTCTATGAACATAAACAGAAATACTTTAGTTCGAAAATAAAGCTAACGACAGTGCGCATGCGTTCAATTAAAACAACAAATAGTTTGATAAAAAAATTAAGTAATAAATAGATTAGAGTCGGTCGTTTTCGCCTGTTTTCGTTGGTGTGACAATGCGGCCTGGTGGCAGTCGCGCGACCGTCAGGTGAGACAAGCAGACAGTACCGACCCCTAACATCATGAGCTAGGTGGTCACAGCATGCAGACCGCGAGGGGTCGATCCGAGGAGCGCAGGCCGCGGTCGAAATCTCAGTCCCATCAGCCCAGAAGGGCCGTCTCCCGCGACTCGTCTGTGTCCAGTAGCAGCCGGGAGGTGCGCTGTGGCTGCCAGTTTTATCAGTCCGACAGTTTACTGCCCGAGAGGGTGACCCTGGTTGGCAGGCCGGCCAGTCGTAACAGTTTCACCATGGCTTCGTCCTCGCCACAAGTCGGGTGAGTTGCGGGGGTTGGTGCCGAGTGATTCTGATTTATGTCACCTATATTTAATCTTAACGCTTTCAGTGCTATAAACGAGATAAATCGTTATGAAACTGCCATGTGTGACAATATGAATGAAAAATTTATAGTATTGGCAACTATTTGTGGTTTTGCAACAGTCGATAAATGTACGATGAAAACGGATATTTCTAATAAAATAATTCAGCGCAAATTTATTTCCATGGAGTTTTGCGCCATGGACTTGCAAGTAAGATAACCGTAAGGAGACACAGAGTTCGTAAGTCTCCTTGAAATGTTGGATGATTATATTTCTGATACACAAATGTTATCCTTATTCTTGTAAGTCCTTCAAGGCTAAGTTCGGAAAATGACCGCATTCTGACACGATGTTAGTATGCTAGGGGTCCGCAGTGGCCGCGCGGTCCGAAGAGTGGGCCTTGTGCCGCTTGGTCGCTGAGACCGTGGGTTCGAATCCCACTCAAGCCATGGATGTTTGTCCGCGTTTTTCTGTGTTGTGCTGTCCTGTGTACAGGTAGAGGCCTTGCGACGGGCCGATCCCTCGTCCAAGGAGTCCTACCGAATGTCTATAGATCAAGCCAACGAAAGGTTGGGACCCGCAGTGCTCAGGCACTTGAAGAACGGGTCGTTCCCAGTATTCCAGTATCCAGTTAGTATGCTTCTCCAAAACCAAACAACGTACTTCGTTTAAATTTAGTACTGGGTTATTGGCACTTTTAAAAGTTTCCAGGTTAATTTAATTTCTGTTTATATTGGTCTAATATAACTCCAACTCAAGCCCATAATTCTATAAAATTCTTCTCCCAAATGCTCATCGTACAGGCCGTACTGCTATTATTTAAAATATTTTCGACATGGCGAATATTTAACTGTATTAATCACTACTTTAGTCTGCGTATCTGTAGCGCGCTTATATCTTTAACAACAGATCTGTATGCGCAAAAAATTAACACAAACACCACTGATGTATGCAAAATCGCAAATAACTCATTCGAAAATTATATCCCGGCCTTAAGATTCCAGTCATTTTGACTACGCAGAGTCCAGACTTTGAAGTCCTCAGAAACTAGCAGTAACAATCAACACGCGTTTTATATTCTTGAATTTTAGCTTCTGTTCGTCCAACAGGAACGAAAAGAAGAAATATAGAATGAAATGAAAACTTAATGGTTATTTCATACTGGCTAATTGATTCTAGGAACATTATTCTGTAAAAAAAAAGTCATAATTACTTATTTATAGCGGAGACCGGGGTTGGTTGAACTATCAATGGCTTTTCAGCAATCGAAATTATACCTTATCATCGTAATATACGAACAGAATATCGTTTAAAATTAAAACCAGAGACTATTAATAACATACCTAAAGTTCACGAGGATCACGCCATCTTGCAGATACATGGAAAGGTCGATCCATTCTTAATGATACATGGAACAGGTCCTCCTGAGGTAAAGTTGTTAATTTTATGAACCTGCGGAAACCAGAACTTCAGTTAAAAACAAACGCGCTGTCCAACTCGCCCTTGGAACTGTCCACTATATATTCAAAATAAAGCCACCCGCAGTGTTGGTGCATTTATTTCCAAATACCCTCGAAGAACATCCCTGTATGCAACCTGTCGTTGCAGTGAAAGCAGAAACTTATATTACGCCGTGATGGTACGGCAACATCTTCAACGCGCGAGCTACGCGGGAAGTTTACATAAAGTACATACAATATTACCTATGATGGTATGGTCCACATTAATTTGACTAGTTCATGTACAGGTTACAATATATTGAAAAGAGTGACAACTTTTTCTCGAATGTCTCAATGTTCAGTCCACAAATATTATGTATGAATTTCGTTAACTTTCCGTGTTCACACGGAATGCGGAAGGATCAACTTCCTTAGTTGTTCCATCAGTAGGCGGCCATCTACCAAAGTATTTTTGAAGAAATACTGTTTTCTTCCTCAGCTTTATTTCTTCAAACCAAACGGATTAAAACTTTGAACACAACACTTAATAACTCCATACAGCAGAATTCATCTTTAGAAAATGATAGTCGCTCAGCTGGTCAAGAAGTTCCATGTTTATTTTGGACGGTTTACTGCCGTGCTCAAGAGAACCTACCATTGGACCCAATCTTGAGCCAGCTGAATCAAATACATGTCCTCGCATCCTATTTAAAGTATATTATAATATTATACTCACAAAAAAGTTCCGATAATGAATAAGCTTACATGAATCAGTCTTAGTTTCTCGGACAACTCTATTTTATCCAAATATGAAATGTTCGCAGAAAAATGAGCCCCCGGAAATGTAAGGTTCAGATTTTAACTTATTACGAATGATTACTCTGGTGCTGAAGTAAAGGTGAACCCCAGCAGAAAATTATTTATTTCACTTTGAGGAATTACCACCGAACGTTGAAGCCGAATGGTTAGCACACATCCTTCGTATTTGGGAAATCCCTAGTTAGAGTATCGGCCCGGAGACCGGTTATCCTGAGTACTTCCGTGATTTCCTTCAGTCCTCCACGCAAATGCTGGTTAGTACCTTAAATTAGGCCACGACTGCTTCTTTCCACATCCTTTTCAATTCACTATTCTTTAATCATCCCACCATTCGAGGTAATATAGTCTGAGATACCGAAAGAGACGTCAAATGTATAATACATTCTAAAACTGTTCTGAACTATGAAACTGGACAAATGCTTTCACTAGAATTCCGTGTACATGGATAATTTATTTCGAATTTAAGAAGATAGACAACGTCACCCTGAACACTGGTTATGAATATTAACGATTTAAGCACGCCCGTCGCATCCTTGTCTGTCCCCATACTCGCTGCCTGCTGCAGATATATTTGTCTTGGTATTTTCCTCCCAGCCTGCACTATTTATAGGGCAGGCAGCAGAGAACATGCTGTGGCTTGGCAGGGCCCGTAACTCGGATTACTGAACGGGTCAGTTTAACCTGGAACCCTTATATTACACTTCAAATACAGTATGAGTAAACCACAAAGAATTAGCTCAATCGCTTAGCGCGTTTCATATACACTGAATATATCCGAGTTCCCAGATCTTATTTTTAAAAATACAGGGCATACCATCTGGGAATGGAAAGGGTAATGGAATTCGAAGATTCAATACCAAATATAACCATCACGGCATGATCCTGAGCCTTATCTTAAACCTTTTTCTCCACGATCCAATTTAATATATCCTCTCTTCTGTTTGTTTAGCACAAACCTTTGTTTTTCCACTGGACGAATTTACAACCATGGATATTTAAATATGATTTTACCGATTTTAGCTGACAGTCACAGAGTACACTATACCTCACACTGTGTCATATGAAGTGATTCAATCATGTTTATAAAAACTCAATTTAAGAAGGATAACATGGGCAGAGCATGTAGCACACACGGAAAAGATGAGAAACACATAACATTTTAGTTGCAAAATCTGGGCAAGAAATGGGGTTAGGATATGGACTTGGTTGAAGGCTCTTGTGAACATAAAAATGAGTTTTTGGTTTCCATAAAAGGCAAGGAATTTCGTGACTAGCAGAGTGACTAAGTTTCTAAAAAAAATAAAAAAGACGCTGCTCCATGGAGTTTGCATAATTCAATTACACTCCATCAATTTCACCTCGTTTCTTGCTCTATGTAGGGTTACAAAATATGTGGCACTTGTCATGCAAAATGACCCACTTAATATGTGACCACAGGTGTAAGCTCTGATAATGTGGTCATCTTAAATTAATCTTCTACAAATATCATTATTTGTTGGACTCAACACCAATCCCTCTTGCTTGTAGAATGTCAAAACACTAACAATGGTGTTACTACCATATGTAAGTACAATAGAAAATGCCCATTTAATTGGATGATTAGATTCAACCTTACTGGTACCAACAAATTAGTACAGATAGTTGGTAAACTAATTCACACCCAAATTGTGGTAACAAACACTAAAAAAAATAATCTATATACACTCTTATTCCCATATCATAACATGAATCCAAATTCTAACATCAGTCAATTGTTAATAACTAACTAGGAGAAACACAGGATGAGTCTGGAGAGTTCTCTCTCATTTTATTACTGTCTCCTCTCCTCAGTGACCATGAATATGAGCCAGTAGGGGCCCCACCACCCAAGGTCCAGGAGCCACATGTCACAGATGAAATGGGCCTTGGTATGGACGAGGAGTTTGATGCCATCAAGCCGGCCACCAAGTCTGAGACCAGCAGTACAAGCAGCCGAGAGCGCCGATTTCTGCGTATACCACTGGATGACGAGCTGGTGGTTGTCCCAGGGGATGGCGAGGATGAAGATGAAGCAATGGAGGGTGAAAATGGGGAAGCCAAAGGAGCAACAGCAGAAGAAGCAGAGGAGAAGCTGTCTGCCCAGGAATTTCAGTCCCAACTGGAGGACCGGTATTTCTCAGCTACACCAACCACCACAGAGTCGCGCACAGACTATGATGTAAACACCAGTCAACTGGACTCCTCGGGTCTTGAAGATATTCCCCTCAAGCGAGAGGCCAGGAAGAAGAAGCAGCAGGATGCCACCCCAGAAAAGCAGCCAGAGACACGTGGCTTTCAGCAGAGACTTCGTTCACAGGCTGGGAGGATTCGAACAAAACTAAGGAGCATACCTAGGCCTAACATTAAACTTCCAGAGCGTCCAAAGCTCAACCTGCCTGAACGCCCAAAAATTCGTTTACCAGAACGTCCAAAATTTAATCTGCCTGAACGCCCCAAATTCCATCTTCCAGAACGCCCTAAATTTAATTTGCCTGAACGACCAAAGTTTTCAATGCCAGAGCGTCCAAAGTTCAATCTTCCACAGATGCCAAGCTTCAGCATGTCTAAGGAACGCAAGGCCCGATCTCATCATACAAGCAGCACAAGGCGACCACTGCGTGAGCGATCACAGATATCATCAGCATCTACAACATCATCAACAAAGAAGAACATTTTTGACTTTGATTTCAAATCCTATCCTCGCATCTTCGATCGCAAGTCTCGGCGTGCTGACTATGCAACTTCATCTCCAAAACCTTCACGTGGACAGACTCCTCCTCCTCCTCAGACACCAATTAGAAAAAAAGGAAGCTGGCTACAACGATTCACAGACTTAAAGCATGCTCATGAACCAAATCCGCCCACTGCAGGTGAGGCACACAGTCGAGTTAGAGATGATCTGGAAGGTGAAGAATTCAGGGATGACATTAATGTGGCAGAATGTGCTGAAGGTTCTGAATCTACAACAGCATTCAGAGACAAGGACTATGGGTATGCAGTGACTATAGATGACACAGAGCAACCTACAGAAACTGCAGAGCAGATCCGGGCAAGCTCTAGCAGTGTTCCAGATTCAGACCGGGAGGCACGATCTTCAGGCAGCTCATCTCTGCGTCATCGGGCAGGTGTCCTTGAGGAAATAGACTCAGATGAGTTCTTTCTTCGAGAGAAGGGCCTGAGTCAAGAAGATGTTGAAGTGGGTCGCTACCTCACCTCTGAGATCCGTGAAGCATTCCGTGCCCCTGTCAGTGCACTCTCACAGATGGACAATTTCGAATATTATGACGATGATGAAGATGTCGAGAATTTGGGTCAACAGTATCGTAGTACTCCCGAAAGGGGACCCATACGACCGGCACGGACAAGGTCACTTGGAACTCGCAAGAGGTCCAGTAAAAGCAGAGAACCAAGTCCAGCCGAAGAAGAAGCCTCTTCGCAATTCTTTAACACATTTCCACCTGCAAGGCCGAAGAGAAGTAGTAGACTTCATCAACAACGGGCTGAGGGCATAGAAGAGCAAGATGTGTCCAAAGAAATCAAGGAGCAAGTGTATGAACAAGAAATGGAAGTTGAAGAGAAAGACAAACAAATAATCTCTCCTAGGAATGATATTCTGTCTTTAACTGTCACTGATGAAGATGACAAATTCCTGTGCCAATCTACAGAGCTTGAGGAATACCTTGCATCTCCCTCAGAGGACCACTGGCAGACTGAGGAAAATGCATTTGTTGAGGTTCAACCACCAATGCCACCGAAGAGAATGCGGCGAAGCAGGAAAGAACCCATCCCAGATACTTTGTGTAATGGGAATTACACTAAAGAGGACTGGCTGGAGAATTTAGAAGCAGATGTTATACCCAATGAAGAGGTAATTTTTTTATTTGTGAGTTTTCATATGTACTAAAGCTGGCCAAGGGACCCCTAAATTCTGGTTTAAAATTACAATTTTAAAATTCTTCACCCTTCCAGTGTCAATTTACAGCCTATATTTTTAATGAAAAACTGTCTTTAAATAACAATGTCTCACAAATTTACAATTTGTACACATGTACATACAGGTACAAGACAAAGGGACAGTATTCCTAATCCTAAAACTGATATTACGAAACTACATTTCAAAAACACTATCATTAAAAAGCTACTGAAAGATAATCATAGAGTCCAGTAATTGTAACTAATTTTCAGAGTAAACAGATCATCTGTACTTTTGACAATTACACAAGTGGCATATATTTAAACGCTACGGAAAACTACGGCAGAAACACGCTCCTGGGGATATTTGTATAGCCAACTAGTAAACTATAATAGAAATGATGACATCAGAATACAAATTTTTTTTTAAATAATAATTTTTCAGACAAAACTGAAAAGAAATTTATGGAACTAAATATACCTAATTCTGAAAACAGAGTTTGGAAATTCAAATTCTACGGTGAGCAAACAAACACGGTTTTCTACCAGATTCTTGGACTGCACTAAATCAGACAAATCACTGTCACACATATAACTACAGAATATAAGGAACATTTCTCTTGCCCCACACTGCAGGTTATGGTGATGCGAATGGAACCAGACTACATAATTCCAGCAGCTCCACCTGAAGACCTTGAGTTACCTCCAGAGCCACCAAGAAGAGGCCGCAGGAAGAGTTCACGTGCCACGTCCCTTGTAGATGAAGATCGCACCTCCCGCGGAGCCTCATCACTGCCCTCAGAACGTGAACACATTGCTGATGACCTTCCTCGTGATCTCAGTCTCCCAGAAATTCCAGGTTATGCAGCTGTAGACAAACCCATCACCAAACCACGACACTCAAAAGCACAGCGTCCATCTGTTCCTGGTCGCCGCAAGAAATCTAATGGACATCAGCACACACATCCACATTTCTACTCACTTCCGCACAGACCGCCACCAATTCGACCATTAAGAAACTACAGCACTTTAGGCCCATCACGTCCACCAAGGAAACACAAAACACTTTTGCCAGAGGATATTGAACAGAAGAGTGAATCCTATATTGAGATAGAAGATGACATCCTGGAACCATTATCCCATGGGAGTGCCCGTGACCTTCAGTCTGGTGATATTATAGAAAGGATGAAAGGGAGGCCACTCCCACCCCCTCCACGACCACCCAGAAAGGGTCGAGAAAGTCGAGAAAGTCGAGAAATGCCAGAGGAGTCTACTACAGGGGGACAACTACCAATGTACCAAAATGAAGAAGAAACAGAAGATGGAATTACAGAATCTGAGGAACCATTTGATGTCAGCAAAGTAGAAACTTTGGGTGCTTTGAGTGATGACATCTTTTATGCTCATCCAGGAGTAACATCATATGATGATGAAAAACTGGAAGAAGATATTGCAAGAGAAACTAAAAAGTTGTCTAATTTTGAATTAGAAAAGGACAAGACAGAACCATCTCTGATCCTGCAAGAAGCAAAAATCAGGGAAACATCACCAATTTCACTCGAAATTTCAGTGGAAGAAGTGTCTGTAGCAATTCAGACAGATCCACTGCCAGATGACATCTGTGTAGTGATGGGGGATGAGGACGTGCCAGTAAGTCACATGACTGTTGGTACAGAGACAACAGGTCAGTTACCATTGTCAGGGAAAACATCAAAGTTTGGGCAGCAAACAACTCCCGAGCACCCTCCTCCACCAACAGTGATAGAGAAGCCCATTCCATATTATGTTATGCCAGATCCAGACACAGAGATTGAACTGAAGGCTCAGAAATTACAGATATCAGAGTTAGAAGTAGAAAGACTAAATGTGGGCGAGTTGCAGGCACAAAAAATACTGGTGTCTGATATTGATGGTGTGTCATTGCAGGTTGCTGAACTGACCAGTAAATCAGGTAATCTGGTGGTTACTGGACTAGAACTTCCTCCAAGATTTCTCCAAGATCTCTATGACTCTCTTCCAATTCCACCCTCTCCATCACAACCTGTTCCAGCACCAGTACAAGTCTCAGCTCCAAGCATACCTCACCCTCTCATTATTCATCCTCATTCAGATCCTCCTGCAACACAACTGCCTGCTCCAACACCACCATCCGAATCTCCCTCAGCCCAGATACCACTGTACCAAGCTCCCACTCTCCCATCACTCTTGCCCCAAACTCCTTCTACTCTTATACCTTTTTCCCAGGATCCCTCAATTCTCACATCACAGTCTGAGGCTTCCCCTACCCAGACAGCCCTGCCCCAAGTTCCTCCTGCTAAAACACCAATGTCCCAAGTTTCCTCTACCTTGACACCCCAGTCCCAAACTCCCTCTGACCTCACCACACCACAGTACCAAGTTCCCTCTGCCCAAATACTGCCGTCACAAGTTCCCTCTGAATCTGTATCACTTTCCCAACTATCCTCACAAGTTGCATCTGTCCCTGCAACTCCACAAGTCACCTCTATCACTACTTCCCCTCCTCAGTCTCAACAAGTCCCCACAATCCCTTCACAACAAACCATACCTCTCCAGTCCATTATAAATCCTAACCTTGTTACAAGTTTTAATGGATTACATTCTTACATACCAGACTACATCCCCCCTCAAGTGCCAGTATCACTCCGAATTCCATCCCGCACACGGTCTCATATCCAACGAGAACTAGAATCAGAGGAGGAAATGATCAGTTTAATGCACACTCCATCCAGCAGACGGAGGCGTCATCATCCATCAAAACCTGTTTCCCGTTATAGTAGTGATGAGGAAGAAGAAGAAGAGTACAGTTCATATCGTCCACCCAGCCGACGTCACCATTCTAGCTCAAGGGGGGCAGAACCATCTGTTGGCGAGCTTAGCCGTCAGTTAGTGCATGCCTGTCAAGGTGTTACAATGAGGGCCTTGCACCAACTGGTACAATATGTGACACCACAGGTGCGAGAAGGGGAGGACAAGAGAAGGGACCTACAGATAGCACTGTGCATTCTACTTGTGCTGGTTGCAGGACTCATTTTGATGGGTTTTGGATCAGGAAAGACATACCACCACCACCACTGGGATTACCACTTCCCTCCACCCCACCCCTAGCAGTAATCACAAACAAAACATGACTATGGTCCATCCACTGCAAGATCTTGTCTATTTATGGAATTAGTTACAATTCTTATGCCACTGTCCAATAATATTTTTAATTATTCTTTACTGTGAAAGAGGAAAAGAAAACTTTTACACACCTGTTTGCCTTATTATTGTGTAAATAAATTGCAATGCGTTGTTTGTTTCAGTTCTTATTTTATTAATTTTGTTCAATTCTTTAATTTTCTCTACCTCTGCAAACACCTTCAACATGAACTGTATCCAGAATATCCTTTACTTTAAATTCTGGAGACTTTTACAATTAGAAAGTGAACAGGTGGCCATATGGGTGATACCCACCTACATTAAGCTGGGGGCATAGAATCCTCCTACCTGATGGAAGCTGGAAGTCACAGCTGGAAAAGTTCAAATTTAAGGTTTTGCAGGGACTGTATTTGTATGAAGAAAAGGTGATTGTTGGCCAACATAAGTAAATTCTTGAGTTCGAGAATTAATTTGGGGTTGTCTTGAGGGATCTCACACTATGAGTAATGAGCAACTAGGCATTCAGCTCATCCTCCAATATAAGCCTAGCAAGTGGTCTCTCTCTTCAGGTTTTTTTTAGCTAAAATATTGTATTCCTTTCTTGTCTTCTCCATGTATTCTACATATCCTGACCATCCAATACTCTTTTTTATTTGATCACCCTAAAAATATTTGATAAATGGTAAAACGTTTTCAACTCCTCACTGTGCACTTTTCTTGCCCTGCTATAACGTCCTCTCTCTTAGGCCCAAATATTATTTTCAACATTCTGTTATCAAATACCCTCCATCTGTATTCTTCCATCAGTAAGAACAAGTTTCTAATCAGTACAAAACAGGTAAAATTATAAATTTGTAAATTTTAATCCTTATAGTTTTAGAGTAAACACAAAATAAAATATTTTGAACTGAATGATTGCAAGTATTCTCATAATTTTTAATACACACTTACTTATATCATGAAATAATTTTGATTTGTTATTACTGATTGGAAGTACTTGACCTTTGCCCCATTTTCAAAGGATTTATTAGTTAATCGTTAACAAATGAATAAAAATAAATAACACTGTAAGAAAATCGATAAACTACAAACATACATAATATGCTAGTAAAGGGTATTTTTTGAGCAGGTGATAGCTATTCATTAGTTCAAGAAAATCTGGTGGCATAGAATCTATACATTCATCTCAACTAAAACACCACACCCTATGTTTAAATTCCCATGATCTAGTTCTTCAGGACCCAATAATAATACTTTCCCATCTGTACCTCAGTTTTTTTCTTTCCATGATGTTTTCCAATAACACTTTTGTATTCATTTCTCATATTCCCTATCTTATAAGTCTTTCCCGTTTAATTATTTTGTCAACACAAGGTGAAGAGAACTAATAATGAAGGTTCTTATGTCATTTTCTCTAATTGCCTGTGAATTCTGCTTTCCCTAGACTGGACATTCTCCCTGGAACTTTGTATTACCAAGTTTCACACAGACACACACACACACACGAACCTAAAGGACAATAACATTATAGTTTTGTTTCTTAATATTTCTCTTTTATAAATTATAAACCTGTAATTGATTAAGTTCTTGTATCACTTCCTCAAGTGTTAAATTAGTAAGTTTATATTAATAAAAATGTCCATGAAAAGTAATAAATAATTCAATATTAAATAAAACTGTCAGAAAGTTGAGAATATTGTGTTGAAAGATTACCTCCCCACCAAATAAAAAAAATATATAAATATCAAGCCAGAGGAAGAAGAAGAGCTGACTGTGTGTGTGTGTGTGTGTGTGTGCGTGTGCGCGCGCGCGTGTGCGCACATGCGCATTTGTGCTGTAAAAACAGTTAAATAAGAAAACTTTGTGTAATGATGCTTCCATGACTTCGAACATGAAGTGCCCTACATCACCCATACACTAGTGAGGATTTGTCTCTACAAGGTCTCATTAGAGAATAGTTCTCTCCTAGCCAATGCTTGCACAATTGATTTCACTATGTCGGTTGGATCGTTTTAAGTCATTTAATGATGCTATATATATCATCTGAAGAGATTATTTCATAAGAGGATATGAATGTACAGTTGGCTAGAAAGGATGACAAGGATGCGGACATGACCTATTTAAAGATGCAATCACATTTGCTTAGAGGAACCAAGGGAAATCAAAATTTAAATTACATACCTTGCAAGTACTGCTTGAGCTAACTCATTCTACTTCAACACTGTTATTGCTACAGATACGTGAGTAGTAATTTTTAATTACATTATCTATTTGCTTTGAATATACATATAATTTTTGGATAAATTAAAATTATATGTTTCTTATATATACACAGATGTCAAACCTTGTCTCTAGTCTCCAGGTTAATCGAAAAAGCCCTCTTCATAAACAATCAATTTTCTCCTGTCCCTGTGGCTTCCTTTCTGTGAATGACTTGCAGCTGAAACAAATGAAGAAAAAACTAAATCCTGCAATCCACATATAGAACAGTCCAGTAACTGCTTTACATGAGCTCTTCCCCCAACTTCAGCACTTAACACGCCTGGAAAGAAACACACCAGTTTGGAGTACATGAAGTTCCAAAATGCGTTCTTTGCTATTTTGCATACCACTCTCAAATTACAAAAACAAAGCTGTGTTTGACATATCTGGTAAACAGAAAAAAAATTATATAACTGCAAGAGAACTTATTTCTTCCTGTATATTTCACATAATGCACACCACAATGAAAAACACTTCAAATTAAAGCTAAAGAAGTTGGCAACATATAATGTATTAATGTCTGATAGTCAGTTTCTAGAAATTTTGGTAAGTATGAACCGAAACAAAATCCACTTTACAACTTTTAGAGCAGACCCAAATGCCAAAACTGTACCAAAATTTGTTACATGGAACACACACACATACCACATTAACATATGGTCAGATGCAACTTCCACATTGTGCATTCACTTTAAGTACTTTAAACAAAAAATATAGCATGCCTTGTTCTCTTTGACAACTCACAAATTTTCATTAAATGCAACATAACATAATACTAATGCCACTTCTTCCACACATGGTAAACATCTCTAGCTTACAGCTTTAACTGTACTTGTTTCCGTGTCCTCTCATACAGAATGTTATAGCTGAGTGGTTATCATTCCTACTTTGTTTCAATCTACCCTGACTGGGGGTTTTCATGATACTCCTCAACCCTCCAGGCAAATTCAAGGCCATTGCCTTAAAAGCCTATGAGTGTTTCATCCACATTCTTCATTAATAATCATCCTGGCATTAACACAACAAATGCAGTTGAAAAAGCATCATTAAATTTCCCAAGAACCAATAAACTCATCAATCTGTATCAATTCCCCAGAGGGAAGCCCACAAAGAAGCTTGGTCAGTAATTTGTTACGAAGAGGACCAATGAGCTGTAACAGGTAAAAATTCCCATTCAGATCCTAACACACAAACAAATTAAAACTTACAGCATTTTACACTCCCACACCAAATAAACATCTGCACATAGTCATTACAAGGTCTCCTGGGAATTAACTCTCTTTATGAAGTAACAATTATCAACACTTCAGAGTAACTTGCTGCCTCCTTTTCAGAGTTTAAGCATAACTGTGATGCATGTTCACCTCAGATAAACACCCATCTAAGCACTAACAATGACCAATGCTGCGACTAACCAGAAATTGTATGTGTTCCTTTTTCTGATATACTTGCTCTGATGACAGGCTCCCATTAGTTACTCACAGAGAAGTCTTCTTCGACAAAGCACAACTGTACCTCACTAGCTTTTCTGATGTGGTTTCCATATCCTGTTATCCTAGCTAGAATGTATGTGTCTTCGATTATAGCCCAGGGTGGCATCAAGTTCTGCTATGGCTGTTTTCTCAGTGTCATAACAATACAAGCTTTTTACCACTTTAACATGGTGCAATACCTATAAGACTATAAGACAGTCTGTATTAGACTGACATGAAAAACCTCAAGCCTCAACTCTCAACATACCTATTGTTGACCATGTGGCAGCAGATGCTGCATCATTGATTGGTTGAATCACAGGTTGTCTTCTGGCAAGGGAAACTTTTAACTGTACGCCAGAAACCATACCATGATGCATCTAAACAAAGAACATATACTGTACTGCAGTCACATAAAATTGGTACAGAAATTATACAAATTCAATATGTATACCATAAATTTCAATTACTTAAACTGGAAAACACATATTACACACATTATCCCTAACCTAAGCTCAGCATGCTTTGCTATAAGGACTGTCATATCACTCATGAAAACATAAATTTTAAATCTTACTTCATCAATGTCAATTGGAATTACTTTCTGGGAAAACTCAACAGAGAGCAAAAACGTGTTTTGCATTCAAAAGAAAATTGGGGCATTTGAGGAAAGATTCTGAAGGAAATATTTGGACCTAAGAGCCAGAAAGTAACGTGAGGCTGAGAAAACTCCATAATGAGGAGCTTCATAGTACATGTTCTTCACCAGTTATTATTAATTATTAATATGATGAAACCAAGAATGACATGGGCAGGAAATGTAGTGATTAATAAACACACAAAATGTTAGCTGCAAAACCTCAGGGGGAAAACCATTTGAGTGATCTAAGCATAGATGGAAGAATAATATTAAAACAGATCTTAAGAAAATAGAAATGTATTTGATTCAAATGACTTAGAACAAGGTCTAAAGGTTTAAATGTGCCTATACTTTGCAGGTACAATGGGCTAAATCATATTACAACTGTGAAGAATAATTACCTCTGTTATAGCTTGATCAGCTGCCTCCATTTTGTCAAATGTAACAAAACCATGACTGAAAAATAAAATTAACATGATCAGCCTGACACTATACATGCAACACGTAGGAACATAGAGAATGGAATCACGTAAAGACTTCATGCCAGCCTTTGCTACATTTTACAGAACTATAAAATTAACTGAAGTGAATGTCTGATACACACTTAGTTCTAAAACACAGTTACTGGTATCCCCAATTCATGCAATGGCTACGTTCTCAAGACTGGTCACATAACTCAATAATTTTGTTATTACTCTGTTTCACTACCTTTACTTTACACTGAAAAGTATGTAATTCTATTAGCATTAATAACATTCATTTTAGCCATTTTCAGTGCAGCATAGGCTGAAGGTAAACGCAAAGTTTTCCCTATACAGGAGAACCAGACCAAGAAGTTACATAAGGGAGTGGAGGCAAAGCCCAAGTATTCTTAACCTTGACACTAAATGTTTGTGAGCGGACTTGGCATAGGTTCCAACATGGCTAAAACTCAGTGGCCATCATAAAACAGGATTGCACATTTGCTTAAAAAAAATTCCCAAATTCCTTTTCTGGGAAACCTGTGCACTGGCCATGTGGCTAAATGCATGGCCCTCTCAGCAGTTCAAACTTGAAAGAAACAAAGCTGTTACTTACTTTTTCTCTATTTCCACAGTCACATTAACAATGTTGCCATATGAATGGAAAGTTTTCTTCAGGAAATCTTCAGTTATTTCATGTCCTGACACAAAAATTGTGTTACCCTGCCGAGGTTTATCAGCACGACCATCGCGTTTTTCAGTCAGACCTCTCTCCTCACGATCACGGGCTGATACAAAGCTGTCATACAAGTTCTGCAACAGTATGAGAGGGAAAACATAAATAAGTTAGCATGCACATAAAAAAATATTTAAATTATAGTACCTGCTAACAATTCCACTAGTTTACTTCACCATCTACCCTTCCTGTCCATCTTCAACACCTCACTCCCTTATGATTTAAAGTACAATGACATGCCACCAATTCCTGTCTGGTTATTTGGTGTGTGAAATATGTAAGTGCATGTTTACGTGTGCAAATAACTTCTATATATCTCAGCTTCCATGAACTCTCAAAGAGATGGCACCAAGACTTATTTTACTGCCAAAATATCAGCAGAATTTCAATCAAAGGAAATGTATCTTCTGAAAGAGACTCAGATCTGTAAGGGTAGATGGGACATGTAATACCAAGAGCAGAAGAGCTACTGCCATTACTGATGCCAAATTTATAACATAATTTGTTTGTTGCCACAGTACTGCCTCAGATTTCTGCTGCTGCACATTTTTTTGACAGTTCTTCAATACCTCTATTGAGTGGCTCTTTAACAACAACATAAACATCACTCCATTTAAAAAATAGTTTCTCAAATCAAATTTTATATATTTCATGTGAAAATAACTTATAAGGATTGGAATACCATTTTATATTTATTTTATCTGTTATTTCTCTACAGACAAATCAATTAAAAACCAACTAGAGTGATCTCACAGGCAGATGGGTGGAGGAATATCTCTCTTGATTCTTTTGTTCACTTAAGTATAGGTAACAACACTTTTCAGTATTTAGGGCAGAAAAATAACATATCATCAAAACATATCTAAAAAAAAAAATTATTGATGGAGAATTTATGAATTAATAAGTGACTTCAAATACAAAAAACAGACAAAATCTGTAGTGACCAGTGCCTGACAAAATCTCAGAAGATGCCAAACTTGGCATCAGTACCAATGATTTGTCATTGCTGGATAAAACTAAACACAACTCCTTCTTTATACTTAGTTCTAATATTAGTCAGTACCACCTATTCTGATCTGAATTTTTCATTGTTTTCTTCTGGAAAATACCAGGACTCTTTTCAAATGATCATTCCTAACTTCCATTCATAATACTCCCCATTCATGCTGTATATAACTCTCCATTTACTACAAAATCAAATAAAAGGACATACCTTAACTTTGGGGCGGTTATCTGTTTCCATGTCTTCAGGATGTGTCGCAGAGAAAGGTTGGTATCCACTTATGGTACGTTCTGTACTAGACAGTTTCCGTTCAAGACCTCTAGGTCTTTTGAATCCTGCTTGTTCAGGTCTCTTAGGAGTCTTTGTAATGGCTGTAATAGCCCCTGATTTAAGAAGTTTCCTTGCCACTTCACGTGCATCCCGAGCCTCTGCTGGACGCTTTGGAGTTTGTGGTGTACGTTCTGGTTCTGGTCGAGGTGCTTTCAATGCCTGCAGTGCTTTTTTCTAAGACAAAATATAAAAAAAGTAAAAAATATGTTTAAATAAAGTCACATTCAGATGAATTCAGAAAGGTCCCTGGTCAAAGAATGTAATGCACTACACCATCAGAAATTAATCAAGCTCTGGACAAGTGCATATAGCTTGAAATAGAGTACAGTTACATTTCCTTGTCTGAGGTACTATGTACTGGTTGGACAATAATAAGTGATGGGAAACAGGCTGGCTAATACAGTGGTAACACATGAGGTATCTAGCGTGCATTTTAGCAAAGTCAGTAGCTCTCCTCACTCAGATTTTCTTCAACCTTCTTCCAAATTCTTACCTACTCAGCAATCACAATAATCTTATTTTATTTTCACAGTGATTTGGAAATTCAAACAGCACTGTTAAGTATAATAGGAATCAATCAAGAATGTAAACATCACAAATTATAAAGATACAAAATGACTGTTACTATCATTTAACCTTTAAGTTTTATTTGCATGATGAACTAACAGAAGAGACAACATTATTAAATCCCGAGTTACAGAGGTCACAAAATATGATTTAACACACATACAGTGTTAATGGCCACCATTTCCTCAATATATGAGGTGGAATATGAACTTCAACACAACAGACAAATGTTATAATGTGTTTCCAAACGTCATGCAGTACAATCAGAAACAAAGGGCACATCAGATTCAAACTAAAAATTAACAATCAACAAGTAAATAAGAAAAGTGAGGGAATGTGTGTGTCATAGGAGCATCCATATCTCTCCATCTCTCATACAATATTCAACCTTAAAATATGCACAAATTTTTTTGCAGCAGGTACCTTAGTTGTTTGTACTCATTCAATATTAGTTCAATGGGAGGTATGATAAAATGGCCAAGAAAGTGTTTATCTTCGGAAAACACACAGGCAAAACTAATTAAATTCCTAACATAATAATTATTCCATACCTTAAAAAGAGACTGACAGTTTACTTCCATATATTACAACTTCATAAATCACGATAATTCAGTAACTTGTTATTCAATGGTATATAACCTATGTTAGTGACAAGATGCCGTTAAATAAACCAACAAAACATGCTACATATTTAAACTAATACTTATTATACATATTTATAAAACGTGTAAGTCACCTTTTTCTTAAGCTTTGCATATTTCGTTTGAAGCATTAATTCCTCTTCCGTGAGATTAGTTGGAAAGTGCAGATATACCATATTTAAGATATCTGTTTAATTCCTAACGTACAATTATAATTGATTGGATCATAAATACAATATACAAATATACAATATACAATATACAATATATAAATACAAATATAGAAACAGCTAAACTACAAGCTGTCAGACGTAATGAACATAATACAGAACACTTCTTGCACTTATAGCTAATTCTTTTAAGTGAGAAATGCACACAACCTGTAGATGATACCAAAGATGTTATTTGAATATGATCTGTGCGTTGTTAGCAAATGGAGCTGTTTTGTCACTCTTTGTACGATACTTCAGGCTCTAAACCATAAGAGCAATTTAATACACAAATAATGGGCCAACAGATATTGCCACTCATTTTCCTTAGCTGAGTAGTTTAAAAAGTTACTTCTTTCATGTGGTCGACATGTTTAGTAGAAGGGACTATCCCCCACGATTCTATGTATGTCCATGCTTTCGTATGAAAATTAAAATTTTAGTGAGTAGGGAGGATAAACTTAACATCATATATAATCGTTTGTAGTTAAAGAAAAGTGATTCAGTAATGAAGTTTATACTTTCATCTGTCGCATCGTGTTCTAATCGTATTGGATATATTAAGGATATTGAACGGCTACCAGGTCTAATGTTGGAAACACCAATGTTGTTGTTATATGCAAAGGTAGATTACTTCACCATTGGTAATGTTAATGCAAATTTCGTGTTTTGTGTTTAGAAATCCTGATCCTGTTTCTCATAGTCTCATTTTTATTTTAAGGAGCAATACGATTGATTCGAAACAAAATACCTGATCATTTCATATCGAATGTTGCCTTGTATTTAACAGTATTCATATTCCTTTCAGGGTGGAAGCATACCGCATTTAACCTATGAAGTGTTACAGATGGTCACCAAAGACAAACAACCTCTGCACATACCAATTTCAACTGTCGCACATTGTCATGAAGCAGTTACTGCTTTTAGAAAGGGCATTGCAGACTTCACTGGGCTCAAAGTACTTTAATATTTTTATAACAGAGATTAACTCTGTGTGAATAATAGACATTGCCCAGAAATCATGCTACATTGTCTGATCATCTTATGGTTTACTAAAGTTCTCTTACGTTGTTCTTTAAATTACAAAAGTTGTGACACGGTTGGAGGTTATGTGTGATTGAACTTGAAAAAATTGTGAGTTAGGCTAGTCTTCCAACAAGACATTCCTCCCACAGTATCCAAAGCTCTGTTAATAGAAATAAATATGCATACATTTTACTAGTTTGTCAAACTAATAATAAAAAGAAAATTAAACTAAACTGTTGTAGGTTAAATACCTACCCAAATAATGGCTGAAAGCTTACCAGCTAAATGGTATCTTTTATCCAGTGCTGACATCACTGAATACTATTATGTGTTTTCTGCCTGACATACATGACATGATGGGTTAGATTTCTAGTGGAGGCGGTTGCATAATCAAAACTCTAAAACCTGTTTTTATGTTGCTAATTATGAACTGACATAGCACTTTAAATTAAAAACAAAAGGTTCACATAAATAACCTTAGAACTTCTGTGGTAAATATTATTTTAAAAGAAATACATGTAAATTTTGAGATATTCTTCGATATTCTATTATCCAGTATTTAAAAAGTTAAATCTTTTAAATAGTGCTTGGTATATCTTTTCTTATATCCAAATTTGCTTGTTCTCTTTGTAGGAATATTTTACATTCTGCAGTATACATGACCCAGCAGTTGCAACTCCTTATGGATTTAATGATAAAAACACAATATCAATATGGCCTCGAAATGGAAGGAAGCAGCTGGACCCTGACAAGTATGAAATGAGTTCTTGTCTCAGAGAATCAGGATAGTTTATGTACTAAAAATATCAAGTGTTCTCAGGACAAAACATATTGAGAAGAATTCATGATGCATACTTTCCTAAGAAATGCTTTAATCTGCACAGAGATGCTAGGAGATATATATTTATAATTTTGAAATGCAGTGATTCATTTCTTTGCATAATTACTGCTACTGCTGATTTCTATTATCATACTCAACCTGAGTTTTATACTATCATTATATTTGTAATTTTGAACATTTAAAAATTTTAGAAGAAGCTTTTAGGTACTTTTATGACTTTCATGATGTGTGCCATGTTTTTGCTTAATATTTAATTACACATAAATACTCAGAAACAAAAGAAAAGCTTTGCAAAAGTTACATATTTTTAGAAAGATTTATCACTGCGCAAAACTACAGGTTCCTAGGTTAGAGAATATTACTACCACATTAGAAATTTCATGGTCATCACATTGGTACTGCCAGTGTTAAGAAAAAAATATTGGTATAGCCTTAAATGGTATAGGGTTCATAAACATGGTCAGAAGGAGCATTATGAAACCATAAACTTATGTTATTTGATTACACACTACTGAATACCAATAAATTATCTTAAGAAACAGAATGTCTTTTCACAGTTGAATAGATAGGTTAGAAAGGGGTGGGCATCCCAGAGCCACGCCACCCTTTGGGTGCAATGGGTGCATCGCACCCAGGCAGCAACATTAGACTGGTGGCAACTTGCTATAGGGGCACAGGATTTTGAAGCATTGCATTTGAGTGACAAAAAATCAGGGTGGTACCAGAGGGTAGCAAAATATGCAATTACCTAAGGGAGCCATGGTTGAAGGGGCACTAAAGAGAACTGAAATCCATCCATAATTAAACTTGGTAATCTAAAAGTAGAAAAATTGAGAACATATACATAGGGGCAGCAGAATGTGCTTGCACCTGGGTGGCAGGTATGCTCAATGCAGGCCTGGAGCATCCAACTGCTCCTACACCACAACCAGTTAAGCTGTATTGTTTGTTTCCATTATTTATCCCAACAGCAACCCCTCACCTTGTATAAATTGTATTAGTCCAATGATTCAGACATCATAGATTTTCTTAAATTCTCTAGTTTGTATACTTCGAAACATAAATATATATATTTCCGGTTTAACAATGTTTTATACGATTTTCCGGTATCCAACTTTTTCGTTGTTTCGATCTATAGACATTTAGTAGGACTCCTTGGACGAGGGATTGGCCTGTCACAAGGCCTCTACCTGTACACAGAAAACGTGGACAAACATCCATGGCTTGAGTGGGATTCGAACCCACGATCCCAGCGACCAAGCGGCACAAGGCCCACGCCTCAGACCGCGCGGCCACTGCAGACCCCAGAAACACAAATAACAAACTTATAATATTGTGAGACAGGTTGGTAGTATAAGCAAACAAAAATGTTAATATGATGACATCTCCAGGTACATGGACATGATAGAAGCCTTTCAGCCTGATATGTATCAAGCTTTATGTGATGGTGATACAGACCTCAAAAGCAGCAAGAAGAGGATTCATAAGTCAATTGACAAATCACTCATGTTCTTTGAGAAATGTCTTGAGAGACATGAGAAATCGGAGGTAAAAATATTGTGCACTAGTCTTATGACTTGTCCAGTAAGTTTTCCCAGGTCCTGAGTAAGTAAGAAGCCATTAAGACATATAGGAGGCATAGAGGTAAAAGTTGATGCATCTAAACCTTAGCTGTGTATAGAGGTGAATGGTCATTTTCATGTCTAACTATGTGATAAGAGGCCATATAGGCCCCAGAGGTGTTGTGAAGAGAAAAATCCCTGCCCCCTATTGAGAATTTAAACCATAGCCTTCTAGTGGTGACTCTCTGTAAATTTCCATATTGCTGTTAATAAAGACAGTGGCTTGTTCAGTAACTTGAGAGAAATCAAAGAGCAGGATTTGATTCATGGCAGGAATGTTGGGATTTTTCTCTGCACTTCCACATTCAAACCACATTTGGGGTCATCTAGAATCCAGTAGCCACTGGGAGCTTCTTTCTAAAGGGTAATTGTGACCTCCAACTTTCATTAAGGTTGTGAATGCACAGAGTTTTATTTATAAACAGTGCCACTCCCCATTCTTCCCCCAAAAAGCTGTCAGCTGAATTGCAGAGATAGGTCCATTCTTCTATCACATCACAAAATACAAATAAAAACAGTGTTTTGTTATAAAATGTTTACTTGCAAGTTAATCTCTTTCTTGGTTAACCTGATATGTGCTGACATTAGTCTTATATTCTGTCTTCAAAATATATATTAAAAATGTGTATGTGTACAAGACCAATCACAGAATATTTGGATAAAAAACTAGCAGAAAAGTGTATTAAAATGATGATGATGATGTATATGTTACCCTGATTGTTTCCTTTCTACTTTTATTTCTTTCCTTTTCACAGGTTCTGAAAAAAAGTGCAATCTTAGGAGTAGTAGAGGGAGGGTATAGTATTGAAGGAAGAGAAAAGTCTGCAAAGTATCTTGCAGATTTCCCAGTCTTTGGCTATGTTATTGATGGACTCCATAAGAATGGCCCTGATGTGGAAAACTTAACCTTTGAAGATGTCAGGGAAATTCTAGAAGAAAGTTTGGTAATTTAAAATAAAGCTATGTAAGCCAGAAATCCATACCAAATTTCTCTTTGTAAATGTTTGATTATTTTCTTTTCAGAAACATTTGCCAAATGAAAAGTTTCGCATTCTGCATGGTTGTTGGAACCCAGGGACAGTGTTGAGTATGGTGGAACTGGGGATTGATGCCTTTGATAGTTCATATCCATACACAGTGACTGAGAGAGGAGGGGCATTGATATTCCAGAATTGTATAAATAATTTGTAAGTTCACTCTTTCTCAATATCTATTGCACTTTTATTATTATTTGCTATTATAAAATTATATTTTAACTACTGATTACCAAATGATAAGAGTTAATGTGAGGCATTTCTGAGATTTTTTCAGTTCTTTCATGAAGATAAATATCTGGGGAGAAAAAAAATTGCTACCCCCACCATGTTGCTGCTGTAGAAAATTTCTCCAATTATGTTGTCTTTCTGGCCTCTCCCTGTTTTGTTCTATGAGAGGAAGTCGCGGGAGGATGGAGACACTTCACCAACTATTATTAGGGCAATAAAATCAAGTTAGGTGAGATGTGTATGGCAAAGCATACAAGGAAAAGATAAATGAATACAACATTTTGGTTGGGAAACATGAGGGGAAGAGGCCACTTAAGAGATTTAAGCATAGTTGGGCAGATAACATTAAGATTTATCCTGAGGAACTAGAGTGTGAGTGTGGACTTGATGTTTCATATGTATCAAGATATTTGGGCTCTTCTGTATACATATTCAATTTTTGTGCTCCATAAAAAACAAGGATTTTGTTTACTAGATGAGTGACTATTAACTTCTGAAGATGGATTCAATTGGGTATATATAGTGATGGAAGACATTTGTCATAGGTGAGAGTTAAGTTTGGCAAGTGTTTATGTTCACACTATCTCTTGCTGGTCTTGGTGAAAAAGAGACTTTTGTCACATTAGGCCATTACCTTACATCCAAACCATCAGATTCCCTGTGACATGCAATAATAATCCAACAAATTAATTCCATTTAAATCAGAATGATACTTGAAAACTTAAATATCAGGATATAAAAATATCTTATTCTGTATTTCTAGAAACATTCCCAGTTCTGCTACTGATGCTTTAAATGCAGCAGAACCAGTGACTGATATAGAGTTGAAGCCAGAAACAAGTATAAGTGCACAATCATCATCTGAACCTCCAGAGAAGAAGAAAATAAGTACACAGGAAGCTTCACATGCTGAAGAGGATAAATATGTTGTATCAAAAACACAGGGGCATACTACCGAATCACAAAGTTCCAGATTGAATAAAATATACGAATTGTCTCTGTTAGATGAAAAGTATGTGCTTTTTTGTGCATTATCGGAAACCCAATTCTCTATCGTATATGGCCAGACTGTTCCAATGTGCTGAGGCCATCCCTGTTTTTTTCATGTCATTCAGGTTCACTGCTTCTGTAGTGTCCACATTTTTAGGTGTATTTTAACACATTTACTGCTGGAATATATTTCAAGCCTTCATTTTAATATTAGGACTTAAAGCCAAGGTACTCAGGAGCGGTGTACTAAATTAGGGTTTTACAATGATTCCAGTACTAAATCCATGAAATAAATGGGAAATATCTATTGTAGCAGTGAATGTGTTCTTTTTTCTGTCTAAAGAATGAAAATTATATTTTCCACCACCACTACCATATAATGAAGATGTATATGAGATTTTATATATATGAAAAACTGCATGCATTGTATATCTCGACTTTTAGCTCCATAATCATTAAGAGCTGTTGTGGGTATGAAACTGAAGAGAAAAGTCTCTGCCTAGTCTTGAATCACAGCCAGATTATTAAGGAATGTTACTGACTGAGCTGTAACACTTGATTATAATACCAAATTTAACCTGTATAACTGTTACAGGTATGCTGAAGACTTCACTCCACTGAGCAGATCATGCAGCTGTCTGACATGTCAAAAGCACACACGGGCCTACATACACCACCTTCTACAGACACATGAATTACTTGGACCAGTACTGCTCACCATGTAAAGATAACCAAGTTTATTTTTTACAATTTAATATTATTCCTGCCACAAGATATTCCTTGGCATATATTCAATAATGCATATGGATATTTACAATGCAAAGTGAGAGTATATTTGATACAGAATTATTCCAAATGACATATCTGCTGATTCCTTAATGGATCATATTATAACTGTAGGGAATGAATGTGTATTTGCTTTGACAGTGTGTGCAGTATTTCCTATTTTACCCCTTTCTCTTACTATGTTATTCATTTTGTTTGTTATAGACACAATCTTCATCATTACATGGAGTTTTTTAAGAGTATAAGAGAAGCAATAAAGTCAAATTCATTGGAAAGCTTGAAAAGGTGTGTGAATGAGAGAAACGATGTGTCATAAGTTCAGCTGCCAGCTCTAGTTAAATGAAACATCATCATGACCAACAGATTGTACTGAGTAGGGATGAAATTAATTTTTAGTATAAAAAAACAAACAAATGCAAATACAAAACCAAGACCATAGGTAAGATTTGACGGTAACAACTCTGCAAGGAAAGTGATGAAATTAAAGGACATCATAATAAATGTGTATGTTACATAAAGATGACTATAGGACTGTTTTGAGAGTTTAAAAATGACCATTAGGAACACCTAGAACATGATGGATAGACCAAGTGAGGGAAGAGATAAAACTCAAGACAGAAGGAGAGGAGAGGACATATACAAGAGGAGTTGTTATGGTAACAGAAGAATGGAGAAAGCTGTGTTACAGGATGACCCATCCTCATGGACTGCTCAGAGTTTTTCCATGTCTAATAGGATTTCAACAGATGGACCAGATTTGTTAATTTGCCATATGTAAAATGTAATGCTGTGATTTATTTAGATACAGAACATGGTGTTCATTTGGTTTGTTTACTGTGAGTTAAATGAGCCTAGGCAATGGTGAAATATTGTGCTAAATGCTGCAGAAGAACATCTGTATTGTGAATGTCATTCATTACCACAAACTCTGTATCTCTATAATCCTTCTCCTTGGACTAACTGGTTTCAAATCACAAAATTGATAATTTTTAAAATGTGTATGATTATGCAATATGTTATGAACAGGATACAAAATAAATGCTTACACTTTTTTATTTTATTGACAATTGAAAACTACCTATGTAGTCATTGCCTAATTTAAGGACATATCTTGGCATTTGCCTTGGGGGAGTGAAGCCATGAAAAACCGAAGTCAGAATAGCTAATCTCTGGGTGGCAATTTGAGCATGGGACCTCCCAAATAAAAAGCTGTAATGCTAAACACTCAACTCCTAATTTTGACCTACAGCATTAGAAACCACCTACTACATGGATCCAGTACATTTCGCTATGGGGATTTTGAGGCATAATTTTACTTACGGAATGCCTGAAACTATTTAAGAAACTTCATCTTAGACAAGACTTGAGTGTGTTCACATTCAATAACAGGGGTTTAAAATATAATTTGGTGAGTTACATTTGTGAGGGGGTAGGAGTCAAGCTGTAATTAATCTTACCATCTAAGCTACTGAAACAAGCATCCAATATTTAATAGTGGAACTACACATTACGCTGTCAAATAAATTCATATTGGTTTGTTTCAATTCTGCAGCCAATCACAGGTAAAGGGGGTGTGTTTTCTTTGAAAAAGTTTGATAGCAGTCAACGTTGTTATTGACTAAGCTGTTAGCAGTCGCTTCCACCATAATTTCATGACTGTTTCTATGGTTTCACTATCGCTACGGATAGATGACAGCAATATACACTTGTACTTGCCGTCATCTACGATGTATGTGAGTTGGTAATCTGTGCCCATTCTGTGGCAATTATGGTGTCATCCTTGTAATGGCGGACGTGTATTTAAATCAGACTGGTGACATGTTTCTAAATAGATATTTCTAACGAAATTTTGAAGAAAATTGTAGGACGTTTGTTACCAGTAACAGAAAAATGTTTCAGACATATCAGCCACAGTAAGATGTATATTTATTTAGTAGTAATATAAATTATATGGATTGTAGTTAAGAAAGAGGTTATCTAAGTAGGTAATCTCAGCATTGAAGGATAACGCCTCATAATACAAATGATCATTTAATTTAATTGCCAAACCTACCTTTTGTGCCAAAAATAAAGCTTTCAACTGCATTTTGTACAGGTGTCCCATAAGACATGGACAATACGATTGTTACGTCGGTAATTCTGAATCGAAAATGTCATGAACGTATGTGTGATCCCCAAATATTACAGAGTTATGATGTTAAAGATAGATATGCATTTTCTATAGTAGGAAATTAAAGAGAAATTAACACTATTCATTGCTAATAAAGGTATTACTGTAATGCACATAATGTTAGAGGTCTTTCTGATCATCATCTTTGTTTGGCTTAAACATTTATATTTCTGTGGAAGGGATCTGTCAGAGGTCATTCTTTCAATGAATTACTTCCAGTTTATTCAAAGGCATTGTGTAAAATATAGTACTGGAGAAAGTTAAAATTTGATTTCCTTTATGATTTGAAAGAACATGTAACCTGTTGTCCATCTTATGAAACATTCAGGTGATATTCCATGCTTCACTGCCATATGATATTGTTGGGCTAGGAACATAGGAAGAGCTTTATAAATTTTAATTCTCATATATCTGGATGGTATAAAATGATTCTTACTCTTGCAAACATTTTGGATTCATCATTGATATCTTTTTTCTTTCAGTGTATTGGTGTGTAATAGAAGAAGATAAGATTATGGCATTAATGTCAGCCTCTCCAGTCAACAGAATTGCCAACATTACAGCATAGTTATGTTGGATGATAACTCCTGTGTTAGTGAAGTGACATCAGCAATTAGTAGAATCAGAATGCAGTCAAATACTGTAAATAAGACACTGTCTTCCAGTGATGACATAAACTCAGCACTACAGTCTCCAAATATTCCGGTGATAGAGTCCCCTGACAATCCAGTAACTAATGCTTTTAGGTGAGACAAATGGTTTTATTGGATGAGTCTTCAAGAATTGACACTTACAACATTCAGATACAAATACAGAAAAATTGTGTATGTTTAGTGCCATTTACTCTGGGATATCTGAGACAATAAATGAATAGAATAATTTACAAATCTTTTGGAATTTTGACACTAAAATGTTCCATTAAGTTGTGTGTGCATTAAATTTATATATTCTCAAGGTGTGTTTCTGCTGTCCAGTTTACCTGATTTAACAGTTCTAACAATACTAGGAGAAAGATGTAAATTATGATACTCCTATTTAGGTAATTTTCTCCATTCCTGACTTCTTTTATTCCTCTTAGGTTCAGACAGGTTTTTAGCCTTTTGCTTTAACATGCTACCAACCAGTTCACTGTATCAGTTTTTAAGCAGTTGAAATGACATGTCAGGGGGAGACAAATATGATGTAACTAATTTTTTTGTTTTCAAAATTTAAAATTACACTTGTGCACCTGGTTGGAATGGACAACACCGAATGTCTTTTTTTCCCCCTTGCTTATGATCGATATACAGACAAAATGACATGTCAAATTTATTGCATGTCATTATAATTTTATGTTGCATGAAAGTATTCCAGTTCTTTACAGAAATTCTAAAAAGGTCATTTCATTGCTTGTGGTTAGTTTGTTTAATTATTTTTCTTACCTTTTGTCAGTGAATGAGGTGGGAGCACTTTTTGATGTGGAAAACTTGCACAGAGATGGGCTCCAGTTCTTTGTGGGACATGGTACTCTTCAGTCATAAAATCTAGTCTTTGGGGCTGGGTGAAAGTTTTAAATTCTTCACATAAATGTGTTCCCACAGATCTGACTGGATTGAACAAGGACCTTCTGAAACAGAATATACCATCATACTCTGAGATGACCTCATACAGTATTTTATAAATTATACAGTAAAATAACTGAATACTGTTTTTTTTCTAGGTTGAGGGACATAATACATTCTGGTGCCACTTCCCTGAATACTTCACGTTATAATATACCTATTATTGGATATGAGATTATGGAAGAGAGGGCCCGGTTTACTGTGAGTGTACTTATTTGTATAAAAAAATTACTAACATATTTAATTCTCTCCATGCTCTGATTTGGGTGAGCAAATAATTGGGTTTCATTTTCTGCCTGCATAATCTTTCTATAGATTTTAAAATTATATGCCCAATACCCTGTTTGGCCAGTGAGTCATTCACAAGGTGTTAAAACACATATTTTCTTATTCATACGTCTCAACTATTCTTTCATCTAAGACTACTGTTTTCCTACAGTGGAAACCTTTGGTTTAGTCTTGACATATAATTGTTATACATGGTTTATTTTCACAACAGGTTTATAAGCTACGCATTGAAAACAGTGTTACTGGAGATTGCTGGTTCGTGTTTAGAAGATACACAGACTTTGTCAGATTGTTTTCAAAGGTGAGCTATAAATGGACCATCTTACTATCTAATGAAATTTGACCACGAAATGTTTATCCTGTCAACATCCACCTTCTGCCATTTTGGGTATAATTTCATTCAGATTTTGTGTAAGATCAAGGGTTCATTGTCAGTATTTGTGTATTTCTTTGCTAACCTGCAGAACCGTAACTTCCCTTCTTTCTTTCTGATTTTTATTTAGCTTCATGCTACTATGAATACATAAATTATAAGTAATGCTTTTATTAGAACAGTTATATTTTGTACCGATTATTAGGCTGCGTGTATATTATTGGCACAGTAAGTAAAAAAACTTATACAAATAACTATATTTCATTAAAAGTGATTCAGTTAAAAAATCATATGTTTAAAAATGAGTTATATGCTGACTGAGTAAATGACTTGTTATTCAATTAATTCATTCATTCTTATACTTTTAGCTGAAGACTGATTTTCCATCTGTAAAGCTGACACTGCCAAGAAAACGTTGGTTTGGAGACAACTTTGATCCAAATTTTCTTGAAGATCGAATCCATGGCCTGCAATGTTTTGTAAATGCAATCCTTGAACATCAGGATTTGTATACTGCCCCATCAGTGCAAGATTTCTTTTGCCTGAATGAACCTCCAGCATATGCAGAAAGTGTGGAGGAATCCCGGGTAAGTTGTCTCTGTCATCATTATAGGTACTAATATTGTGGTGAGATTTCTTCTTAACCAATTTCCATAATTTATAAAGAAACAAACATCTATGTGCATTTGTATTAATATGTGATTACATCTGCTTGCATCCCTTAACTGTTAAACAAATGGGTGGGGACTCACATGAAACTTCAAATAACCCAGTAGAATTAAATATAAATATTGACAAAATTCCATTCTGTGGTATGAATATCATGCATTAGAGAGCACCTTGTATTCTTACTTTTTAATTCCCCAAATAATACCAACATGGCACCCATACAAAATTATGAGTGGGAACATCAGTGATGCCATTTAATTAGAACCTTCAAATTTTGTGTGGTGGTAGACCTTTGTTCAGTTTACAGTGATATCAAATGAATGACTGAAGTTAGGCATGAGAAGTTAAAGGTCACCGAGCATGTCAGGAACTTCCATGTCTTTTATGGAACCTAAAGGTCCATTAGTTTGTTCACAAAAGTCCACTATTGAATCCTGTTCAGATTTAGTTGAATTCACTCCATACACTATGTCTCTAAGGTACATTTTTTTTATTATCCTTCCATCTGTGTCTCTGTCTCCCAAGTGGTTTCTTCCTTTCTGATTTTTCAACCAAATTTTGTATGTTTTGTTATCTCCCTCAAGCATGGTACAAATTTTGATCCTCTGTAATTTGATAACCTTTATAATATTATGAAGCTCCAATTTATGTAATTTTTTCTTCTAAAGGCAATATTTGAAGCACTGGAAGAGACTATTTACCACTTAAGAAGCCAACTGAAGGAAAAAGACATGGAACTAAACAGATTAAGAGCATCTCTCACTGCAGAAATAAAGAAGAAAGACAGGCTGTCTCAGATTTTAAGGTAAATACTTGTACTGACTAAGCATTATGATGACTAGATTTTAGGCATTAAAGGTGCCATGTAATTTTGAAGGTTTCAGATCACTCCAATTGAAATTGATCGTAAACATCATGATGCAAGCAACAGGTTGATTGACACAGATGATAGATAAAAGTGTACATTTCTGTAATATGCTGTGATACAATGTGAATGATGTAATTCCAAAAGATGGCAGAAGCTTATGGGTAAGTGTATAAAAGTGCAAAGAAAATATAATCCACACTATAGTATAAAATTTTGATTCAGATTAGTTAACCACAGTGGTGAGTATGAAGATTTCTGTCTTCTGGGTTGTTGCGCTGTGTAGTCTGGTAGATGTTTACCAATGTTTCAGAGGTCATACTGCCTCCGTCATCAGGGCAATGAAGATTTCTGTCTTCTGGGTTGTTACGCTGTGTAGTCTGGTCGATGTTAACCAACGTTTCAGAGGTCATACTGCCTCCGTCATCAGGGCGATGAATATGAATACACAGCGCAACAACCCAGAAGACAGAAATCTTCATACTCACTGCTGTGAAAACCTCAAATCTTACAAAAGAGAAGCACTTGGTTTAAACTCACATATATCTAGATCTCCATAGTGAGGACTTAAAAATTCAGCTGCATTGTTTTGCTTCCCTGTTGCAGAGACTCGACAACAGATTGTCCTCAATGTGGTAAAGACTTTACAGCTATCAGCTCACCACTTTCTGACACATCTATATTGAAAGAGATTATCAGTGAAGAAAACAATGGGATCAGTTCACAGAAACATACAAAGGCTCAGCTGTAAATTGTTGCCTTCCATATTGTACCTTCCTGTTAAAGTCTGATATGAATGGGTGAAAAGACTATTTGCTACTTTCTAAAAGTTTTAAGTTTGTTACTACATATTTATTACATACAATGCCTATTTTAAGACACACTTGATAATTGTAAATCTTCCAAAGAAATTTTATATTTAATTAGTAATCAAAGGCTGTGATCAATAGGCAAATATGACAATACTGTACAATTATAATTCCATACAAGTATTTGAGAAAAAGTACAATGATTTTCCTTGACAGGAAAAGAATGTCAGTTTATATGCAGTGCGCAAAGGGTGGCTGTGCAACAAGTTATGAGCCGTATGAGGCTCTTGCTTCTCAAACGACCAGTTGATGCTATATAGCCTTTACAATGCATAAGTGTGATTGTTCAGTCAAAGTACTTGTATAATTTTTTTGTAGATTCTAAATACTGTCCACAGACCAGGAGAAAAGCCCTGCGGGGGGAAGTCGTTTCTAGGGCAGTGCAGGGGGAATATTTACTGTCAAGTGGACTAGAGGGCTGCTATTGGTGGGAAGTGTGATACTTCAGAGTTTTACACTATTACGCACAGACTGAAAACATCAAGCAGTTAAGAGTAGCGTGTTGTGAGTGCACCTGTATTGTGTTCTGTGGGTGTTGTGATAATATTCTAGATTAAATCACTGTGCCACTGTGAGGTAATCTTAGAGCTATACACTAGAACACATGAAAACCTGTTGTCTGTTGTTCGTTCAGTAGTTGTGGAACTAATGCTTTTAGGATGGGTCATCACTCACTGCGAAATCTTGCGTATGTGCGTATGTTGAATTCCTAGCAGGGCTTTTCCCCTGGTCTGTGGACTGTTGGTCAGAATATGTCAAGGACTGAAGGGTTGGAGGCGATTGTCGTAAACCATTACGAAAAAGTTACTTTTAACACTGAAAATCTTGTGATGCAAATAAAAGTGCAGCTGTGAAAGAATTACTGAAAACTTTAGGTTCTGTTGTTCTAATGAACAGGCCCTAAAAAGCATACACAGAATCTTATGAATAGTGCACTATTTCCCAGAAATGCATATTTTGTATTTTCAGTTGTGCAGTATTTAATGCATCTTCATTTACACTTGTTTCTGTTACTATTACTTATAATTATTTCTTGACAAATTATTTATTTAGTTATTAAAAATACTTTTAAAGGGTCAGGTAGTTGTAGTGATGGTGCTGGTATTATTGTGAAAAGACATTGGTGGCTTATGAAGGAGAGGATGGGTATAAGGCAGAAAAAACTGGGCTAACACACTTAAAAAATTACATCTTCTCCTGCATGAGCCACCACTGATAAAAGTAATATGTAACTTAAATATTATTTTGTAAAGGTTCTAGCTGTGCTGTATAACCATTACTACTCAGGAACAATTCAACAATAAATTTTCCATTTCAGTACCCTCTAAAGCTTGCGTCGTACTGCTTTGCAAAAATGCATTGTGTACTTTCATCTCACTATGCTCTGAAGTACATTATTTCTAGAACAGTACTATCATTAGTAGCGCTAGAGTAATCCCAACCTCAGACGTTCACGAGGCCGGTGTGTTAATGTTGTTGATGGTAGAACATTTAAAAGTACTAAGACGGAATAGCCCCACTTAATGGTACCTGCACCTTGTCGTGGTGGTGGGGCTTGAGTACCTCAGTGACCCCAAGAGCTATGCTGGCGGTAGCGTAGCTACTGGTAGGGCCTCCCTAGCCAGATTGGTCGAGGGGGAGAGGTCAGACTAAGACAGGTACCCTGGTCCTCCAGGTTGGGGGTTGGGCACAGGGCTAACAACCTTACATCGTAAAAAGGAAGATGTTTCGAAACCTCGATCAAAGCCTCGGACAGACCGACCTGACAGAGGACCGTATGGAAAAAGAGAATTGAGGAGGCCATAGACTGAACACGGACCGGAAAGCCATAGAAGAAGAAGAAGAAGAAGACAGAATAGCCTCTTGTCAGATGATGTTCATACCAAGTTTTAATAAAAATCTCTAGACTGATTCTACATACCCACAGACAAGATTTTCTTATAAAAGAAGGAAAGTAGGCAAAGAAGCAAATTTCATAGTTATACTCGCTTTTTAATTAAGAAGGAAATCAACAGAAATTTGACTTGTGGGAACAATAATGGACCTTGAGAACAATGTTATGTTTTTGGCAAGGCCAGTATGAATTTGACGAGCAAGGTGTAACTGTACTCGTGAAAGAGTCATAAATATGGCTGCTTAATTTCACCATCATCAAGAGGGGATGCTGTTATTTAACATAAGGTCCAGGAAAGCTAAAGTGGTGTAAAATTAGTGGCCTCCAAGCTAGCGTCTAATACAACTAGTGTGTTTTCTTAATGGCATTTATGTCTTCATCCAACAAATTATCATCACCAGATACAGACGATTCCCATTAAATTCAAATCTCACCCGATTTTCTTTGATTTTCCTAATGAGGCATTGTAATGTAAAGATAAAAAACCATTGCGATAACGCAACATAAGTTTATATTCAGTTGTTAAAGGCCCTATGCATCTAAATACAGCTTGGGGTCCAACTTTTGTTTAAACAAATTTTAGTTAATGGGTAGGCCTATACCAAATCCATTGAGAAATGTGCAATACTTCTCTCCCGAGTCAATGCTAACTACAAATTTCAGACACCCACGGACCGATTCGGTGAGGAACACTAATACTTAACTGACTGGCTCACAAAATAATTAAGCACAACTTTTCTGTGTTACAGAACACGACGTTTCAGAATCACTTGCCACTGAACCCAGCCATTAGGCAATTCAGTCTCATAAAAATAATCAAAAACTCATTTTCTTAATACCCATTTCAATACAGTATTATCTTCAGATATTTGTGTCAGTGGTGATGAATTTCGTTGGTCAGTACGTTGATTATTAGACCAAAGTATGCTCATTCAACTAGATAAGTTATTTAATAACAGGATAATTATGTACAGTGTGTTAAAAGGAAAAGATAATGAGACGAGATTTGAACCGATGATCTCCAGAATACAAAAGTGTGTTACTGCTGTTTTGACCAAACCCGAGAAGAGTGAGCTTTTCCAACCTATGAAACTTTTTTACCCATCCTACCGCAAGTTATTAAAACCGTGGACAACACAGCGAATCTGAATCACAGCTTGGCGTGGCCATCATCCTGGTCTCACTGGTGTGAAAGGTAATTAGTTCATAAATGCGGTGGTGTAGCCCCTGTAGCACGATTACTGTACCGATATTTCGAGATTCATGATAATCCTTAGGTTTGATCAAAGGTCGTTAGTGAGATCAACATAATATAAAATGGCATAGTCATAACGTTTTCCTCTCTTTCAAGGTAAAAACAATTGTTTCTACATGTATCTAAATAATATAATTCTTTATTTTCGGACAGATTCCAAGCATTTCCTTTCACGTGCAGATGAAGCTTCTGTGTATCTGATAAGCTGCGTAATTGTGGACGTAGTAAGAGCCTAGCCTGACTATCCCATACTGCTGCTACAGCAGATCCGTAGTTAGTATCTGACAGCCACTTGAGTTGGTGACATCTCGAGGCTATATTTCGAAATTTTGCACTTGCGCAGACATGCCCGTCATTTAGCATCTTCGGTAAGTACAAGTCATTAACCTTGTTAATAACACTCTTCTCAATACTATATGCCGCAATGCAGACAGATTTTTGTATTTTATTAATCTGTTGAAGAGAGCATTTACAGCTCAAGTGCTCTGAACATGATCCGAATGGGCAGGAATATACAATAAAATTACAGCAAAAAATAATATTTTCGGCAGCAAGATGACGACAGCTATTAAAAAATGTTTTTGAAGGTAAATTCCAACTAATCCTCATAGCTCTGTTTAAGCATTTTCAAGTATTCATAGAAAGATCACTTAATATCATAGGAATTACGAAAATACATTTAGTACTATCTAAAGCCAGCTATTTCAAATATTATTTGTGAAAAAAATCATCACTCAAAATTACTTTCTTGATCCTTGGTTTATTTAACAAAATCTTTTCAACTGCATATGTTGTCTAGAATGAGTATTTGGAAAGGCTCTGGGTTGAAGCGATTATGGTCTGTTTCAAGGCATTAACGCTGGAAGCTGACGAAAACCGCGAGAAACATGACAGCCGGTCTCTGAGCTGAGTTTCGATTATTTATTAACGCGGTGGGGAAGGTATGAAAGGAAACGGTCACTGTTTAACTGAAGTACTCTCCAAGAATTTTCTGGAGGGACTGAGGAAATCCACGGAAAACCTCAATCAATATAGCTGGTCTCGCGGCCGTGGATTTAGCAGCCCAGTGCTACGACGTTTGTAGAAGGCAATAAAATGTCCACGGAAATGATAATTTTCAAAATGATGACGCGTTATTGTCTGCTCATTTTGACCCCGAACGACCCTTGTTGGGAGAAGACGTCGGCGACTTTTACAAACTTACTACGAATTAACGATTAGGAAAGTTTGCTGACGATGACCCGAGGGTCACTTCCTAACCTCTAATCTACATCAGTCTGTCAGCTGGCAAGTAGATATTTTAGAATAATTAAAAATACAAACATCAAATTTATACAAAATCACCAAACTAGTTAGAAACAACATGCAAAGAGAATGGGAAAGAAAACAATACCAGCAATGGTTATATCATACAAGGTTAGGGGGAAGGTAAGTTAGGAAAACCACTTAAGAGATACATCTATAATCTAGGTCAGTGGTCCCCACCCTTTTTGTGCCTACGGGCACATTTGAGAGTTTATGAGATCGTGGCGGGCACCAACCAATCAACAAAGCCAAATTTTCTTTTCTCTGGACAAATAAGATATGGGCACCAAATAATACACGAATCAACACGGCGTTTAATGATACAAGAAACCATGCAATCAAATATACGTACTTTTATAAGTACAATTATTATTACTCAAGTGGGAAGTTTGGCACTGCATTTCATCGGCCAGTTTTTCAAATTTGGGAGTGTAGGATGATGTTGCTGCTCGCAAACAATCGTCAAGATGGACGTCAGTAAGTCGAGATCTGTGCTTTGATTTAATAATGTTCATGGTTGAACGGCCTTCATTATTCAGTATAACCTCTTTCCGTATCAACGCGGGCACCCAAAAAAAGCCTTGGCGGACGCCATGGCGCCCCCGGGCACCGCGTTGGGGACCTCTGATCTAGGTGGTATAGAACCGTAACATTCCACGTGGTCTAATACATGACAAGTTGATGACTGTCAAGTGCTATAAAGAAGGCTTACACTTTGAGTGCAGTAACTGTCCTCACTGGTCACAAGAATGTAATTCCAAATGGATGATTACCGTGCCAAGGATGACTGGCCGCAGTTTCCTGTTTGGAGTCATGTACTAAGTGGTCTCTATACGGCTAACTGACTGCAGTAATGGAAATAAAAACAGTCATTGCATCCAATGCCCGTTCATCTGTCAGCCGCGGACACAGCAAGTCACATTTGTTCCAATCGTCAACCACATCTAGATTCGCTACGACACGCAAGACTGCATTCTGGTATAATTCCTAGAATCCTTGATGATAACTAACACTGGCTGCAGAACCCGAAGGTGTTGAACTCATGCATACTACACATCCCACCCATTAGATTAAAAACAACAGTGGAAAACGCAAACTTTAATTTCCTAAAGATTTATTTAGAGTTTGTAAAAAAAATCATGTCTCTCTCTATCTCTGAACAGTTAAGGTTCATGGCCTCTCAGCAAGAGTATCAGGCCTGTACGTTACCATGTAAACATATAACCAAGTAGGATTTCTTTAAATAGAAACTAGAATGAAACGTTCCTCTTTTCCATATTTGTATAAAAGTCAGTGATTTTTAGGAATCACTAGTATGACAAAACTGCCAACGAAAACGTTATCCAAGCTTCTCCTTGCGCTCGATTTACAACGCATTATGTATAGGTCTACCCAGACAGCAGACAGATATAATGAGAAACCTAACGCACTTTTGTAACGACACCTCTTCATAATTTCATATAACGTTCCATTCTATGCTTATTAGCCGGACAACCCCAGCCTGGTGTTATCTCTGCTGTAATGTCCTGAGGTAATTATAACTTGCAGATAAAGTTGGAACACAGGTGCGTATCTGTCGTTCGACTGTTTTTTAAGGAAATAGCGTGACGATTTGCTTGTTTATCAGAATCAGTCCCTGTACTGACTTCTCTCCTCCTCCTCCTCCTCCTCCTACTACTACTACTACTACTACTACTACTACTACTAATGAGATAAAATAACAAGAACAACTGTACTCTTCGCTAAATATTAGATTGATCAAAACAAGGGCAGTGAGGAAAACATATAGGAGATGAGAAAACAATTTTAGACAGAAGAGAATAAACAACTAGGGATAAAGTCGTAGATGAGGAGATGCAATTAAAACAAATGTTAAAGACATTGGATTTCAGAGTATGGACTGGATCATGATCAACTCTCTCTTAACAACACTGGCCCATTTCGTCTGGATTTATCTGATGTTTGGAAAGAAACGTGGCAGGCCATCTGTCAACAGTTACAGTTTTAAAATGCGTTAATTAATACTATGGATCAGAGTTCTTCCTGAGAAGTCGATAGTCACTCTGAGCTGAAGAAACATCTCGTATTTTATGAAACCCGGAGGTTCACTGCAGTGTTCACAGGAACCGTCAATAGACTTAATGATGCGGCAAAAAGAGGACCTCCTCCCAAGACATATCGTAATTTGGGAGTTCCTACTACAATTTAAATAATTTTCATGTTTCCAAGCGTGCTACACCTCCCGCTAAGTTCCTAAATTCGATCAGTTGAACAATATGTGGTAAAGAGTAGGATTTGAGGTTCCCACGGCGGTGAGTCCGAAGATGGCTGTCTCCTGTGCTGTAGCGCCATGTAGTCTGGTAGAAGATTATCAACTCTTCAGAGGTCCTGATGATGAAGACAGCAAGGACCTCTGAAACGTTGGTGAACGTCTACCAGACTACACTGCGCTACAACACAGGAGACAACCATCTATGTTGTAAAGAGGTGTTCAACAACAGAAATCATGTTACCAGTGCAATACACTAACAAAAGATTATTTCCGTAAATGGAAACCAGTATGGGATGAATTAAAAATGAACGCCATTCCAATAAAGAGCACTTTTCATTTCACTTCAGTTAACAACACAAACATGGCCCCTTGCGAACGTCTGCTGTGTGAACAACACCGGCTGTAATCAAGGTACAGCAGGCCAACACCACTCTTTTAACTAATATCTTAGTTCAATAGATTTTATTGCCAGAAAACAGCCAGATTATTATATTTCTATGATCAAAGCCAATTCTTGTTTGCTTCCATTGCCACACTCTTCGTGTAGATCTAATGTGAACACGAAGCCATGCCGATTCTAAATATCTCTAAGTTGTTATCTAATTTATGACACACATGCCTGATAAAGAATGTTATCGAAATGTAACCAATTGAACAAGCTAAACTATTCTGTAATAAATTGCTGATAATAAATTGACAGAGAGTAATGAGAATGTCACAGTCAGTGGAGAGAGTCAACAATGACAGGTTGCCAATTATTACTCATTTTCAGAAATGTTACTAATATCTAGTCTATACGTAAAAATAATTAGAATTAACGTCGCTAATGTGTAAAACGACAACATTTCAACCCAGAATCGAGCCAAATAATGGACATAAATCATGATGATGTCATGAGTTCTTCTTCTTCTTTTGTAATGAATCCTAGGATTGGTTATCAGCAGCTCTTTTTTTAGCTGCTGATACTTGGGAAATCCTGAGGATATTTAATGCAGTGGATTCCCCTTGCCTTCCGCATCCTATGCCGTTGACCCATCCGGGTACATCCGCCTTTAGGGGCGATTTCTCACCCCAAGGGCATGAGGATGTCATGGGTTACTTAGTTATAAATCAATCATTCTGTCCGTTTATGAGCAATATAAATTAGATTTATAAGGAAGATATCCGAACGAAATATTTAAAAACGTGGCGCACATAAATAAGTGTTTGGAGACACAAACTCTTGTTCTGATCTCTTTAGAATAGTTTAACCAAGGAGTTTGTAATGAGCTGGGCATGTAGCACAGGCAGGGAAAATATGAAAACCTAAGCGGAGGTAGTAAGATAATATTAAAAAGATCTTAAGGAATAATGTTGTGGTAAAATTGGTTGTACTGTAATTGCTCAGAAGGACCCTATGGCGTATCTGTATTGAGCTTTCAGAGTTAAACTAATTAAACAGTAGGGTTCTTAGCAAGGATTTGCCTCAAAATAAACTGTAGTGAAATATAAAATTACTTATTTTATACCGTTGGAATGATAAAGTGAGGTCAGATGGTTCTGTGACCGGGATTCGAACTGGGTAACTCCGACACACAATTCAGACAGTCACTGCTGAGCAAACCGCCCCTGTTCTTGTAGTTCTGCGCAAGAGTGAAGATGACCATCGATACTAGATACGAACCTCTATCGAGAACTAAAGAAAAATGCAAGTGGTTTAGTGCAGTTTTTAGAGGTGAATGTGAAATTAATGTTTCGATCCCCTCCTTTCTGGTGGTCGCACTTTGTATCTTGTAGCGGGGGTTTCTTACGCTAAGTTTCGGCTGTGCCACATTAAAGAACACACCGCTAGTAGACGTCGTCAGTGCGAGACCCCTACACATCGCTATTTCGCGAGAAAACGAACACAGAAGACAACCTGTTACTAATATGAAAACAGATTTCTGGGCTGGATTTAAAATAACAATTTCTATTATAATTGTTAAAGAATTAATAAGTAAGAAGAACAATGAAATGTAACGTTAATGTTTCACTGTCTTGGGGGAAGAACACGAAACATCGAAGCTAATAAAATACAATAAATAAATCAAATAAAGTTTGACAATGGTAAGAGGCCATAATAATAGCGACGGTGCTTACTGTTCTAGAAAAAAATAGTAAAATAAAGAAAATTAACACAACGCGATAAAATATTCTTGCGTCTACAAAATACACCTCTCACCTATTAAATTATCAACCGTTAAAAATTTGATCAAAGCAAACATACAGGAACAATATCAACAGAAAAATATATCTCTGAAATTACACGATAGATAAATCGGATATAAATGTAATGAGTCCGATTATTCTGAAATTTCACAGTGAATTCGTATTTTTTAAAGAAACACAAAGTCCAGTCACTAATTTTAACCTTGCAATATTTCTGAAGAACTCTTAACGTCGTTGCAGAAACGACATTTATCTAACAGACTTATTGTGTTCTGGAAGGTAATACAGGTGCTATAACTTAATGTCTGTGTGGGCGGAGTTTAGTGACGTAAGCACGAATGTTCCTTTACTACGGCTACTTCAGAAAATCCGCGGTGGAGAGGATTTTACAAAGACGTCTACAAAACAACCTGGACGAGCAAGATCTAGCGACAGGACCTTATTATCACACGTGTGTCTGGAAGAGGAAACAAGAAAGTGAGGCATTGCTGAAAGTGCAGGCAGTCTCACATAGACATCACCACAGCACAGGACCCCTTCGGTGTTTCCGACAGCCAAGGTAGGCTGCAGTTTGCCTTCTAATTTAAAATTTTAGTAAAATATTACCAAATACATTGACACCCTGGCAATAATCCAAATGTTTAACACCGCTAATACCCCGCCACTGGATTCTAAGGCACTTCAATCCTGCAATCCTCTCAATCTGTTTCCATAAGATTCATCTTAATGTTATCCTCCCAGTTCCACCGTCTTCCAAGAGGTTTCCCCATCATAATTACGAATATATCAAATGCTTATCCAATCCTGGCTAAATGACCAGTTCATCTAAGCCTCTGACCTGACAAAAACTGTGACCTTTAGAAATCACCAAATTCCTCATTTTTTGGTGCAGTATCCTAAATTTATCACATACAGGTGCTTAGAGTTAACGGGTATAAATTCTTCCCAGAGCATATCCCTTTCAGTCTTTTGTAGGACTAACTTATTTCACGCCCATACAAAATAACTGGCCAAGTTACTGAAGTTGAGCAATGAGCATTTCCGGAGTTCATTTTTCTCGTAATTTCAGCATGAACTTCATTTACGTTTATTAGTGTTGTACAAGGGTATTTAAATTTAAAATATTTTCACATTACGAGAATTTATTGCCAAAAATATATTTCCATAATACACTTCAGCTCTTTGTCTAATTACTGTTTTGATAGTCAATTAAAAATTATGATGGACGGGACATGTAGCATTCAGTGCGGAAGAAAAAGCTGGCCGATACACAAAAACTTTGTAATCATCCTAATAATACTTCGTCTTTTCGTTAATGCTTTAGGTACTAATACCTAATGCATCTCTTCCCAATGTGTTTGTATTTAATTACCAACTTAAGTATTCTTGTAGCTTCCATCCTCTATGAGCAGTCTACCCATGCCATAAGAGTACAAATTATGAAGCTTCTAATCATGTAACTTCTTCCAAGACCTTATTTGTTTATCTCTTAGATTAAAATATCAGTCTCCTCAGCACCCTCTTCTCACCCTTAGTTGACAAAGCGTCGTTAAATAAAATCTAAAAACAGCATGAAATTTGAGGTTCTCATGGCCGTGAGTACGTCGATGTTGGTCTTCTGGGTGAAGTGAAGTGAAGTGAAGGTCACAACCCAGAAGACCAAGATAGATAAACAATTATCACTATAGTAATATCTCTCAGAGAGTGGACCTACAAGTTTGCTTAGCTACAGCCCATGAAATGTTAACAGAGAATTTGTGAATAGCAATGGTCAATTTGCAACGTGAACTGATATAATTACGTACGCTGCCTGCACACCGAGGTCAATCATTGAATCATTCTACTAGATGGAAGTAAACCAGGAATGTGTCACGCATACAGCAAATACCATTAAACAGCAGTATTGGCAAGACGAAGGTTGCAATCGACTGGGCGTGTGGCTCGGTTGGACTACTTAGGACAGTGATTTTCAACCGGCGGTCCGCGGTAGTTTCATCCCTCAGAAATGAGGACAAGAAGCTATGTTACAAACCCCAAATCCTTGTGAGTCAGATAGGTCTGACAACTTACATTATTTCATGTGTCCTCGCGCATAAATTATGATTATGAATTTCAATGTAAGTGATCGTGATACATTTAAAGGTGTTACTTTGTACCGATGTATCATATATATAAATGTTTAAACGAGCTAGTAATAATTACACTTTAGACTATAATTTGTGCTGCACAAAGTGAGACGGATAATGCAGACGAGACGTTTAAAAAATTAACTTGTACAACGCTGTGAATGATAAGATAATGGGAACAGAAACTGATGATAACACAACGGTCAGCACTGGAGGGCTGATATCCAATGGCGCTACAGCCCAAGTTCGAGCCTTGGCTGATATACAGTATTATAATATTACTCTGATGTAAAGGCACAGAAAATAAGATTAGTTCAGTGAGGGTATTTCTAAATAACCTTCGATTCGAATGCACTTAAGTATGACATCTGACTGATGAACAAAAACCATAAAAAGTCCGCCTTACAGCTTCAGGGTAGCCCCTTCATACCAAATGTCCATATGAGATGTAAAGTGAGTGACTATACACTAGCACTATGTATTCAGTTCATGAATCAAGTTCAAAGAACGAAGAATCACGTAATGTATTCTGCGCACATCTTATAGCTTTTAGTCGTCTGAATTCACAATGCCACGTGTTTCTTTGCACCAGACATCAATGCAGTGCAGAATTACTGCCTGAACACAGTTTAGTATTTACATACTCGTTCCTCTAGTCAATGTGAAGCTGACAGTGTTTGCATGCTTCTTAATTGTGTTGTTACTTGCTGATTCACTGCTTCTGTGTTGTCTCAAAATGACCTCTGACTTTTAATCCCGATTAATATGACTTCAAAGTTCGAAGAATTTTTCCCTTGGTTGGAGTGGTAAAGTTAATCACAGATTTGGACTTTTCGTGCAAGAGGTTTTAAATTTCGTAAATAATAATAAAATTCAGTAAAATTCTTTATTTATTTGCATCCTGATTTAACAGCTCAAAGGTTAATTACAAAGTCAGAAAAGTTAAATAATAAGAACAAACAGGCAGAACAAATACACACAAACAACGGCCTAAATAATGATAATTAATATAATTTAAATGGCAATAATTATTCGAAGGAAACAAGTCAAAGTTGTAACAAGTGAAAAAGGAAAAAAGTATATATTAATATAAACAGACAATTTATCTAACAGCCCGAAGGTTCAAAGCCGTTAATGCCAATGCCAGTTAATGGACACTGAGATTAATGTGACGAAACAGACTACCATCTGCAAGCATAAACGTTGGAGTACATTCTTATGGACAGTGTAAAATTTGACAAATATTTGAAGAACGCAAAACTGAATATTTAGAAGAAACATTCCATGCATAACGAAATCATTGTTTTCAGCATGTTTATATAATGAACGGCTACAGCTCCCAAAAACTAGTTCTGAAATACTAATGAACAGACGACAGCATGGTCATCCATTGGAAAGATCTAAAGCGACAGGTTACACGCAAATGGTCTGACCTGGTGAGGGAACATCATGATGATTCTAGAGCGTACCCCATAAAAACTGAGAAGAAATTGTAAGCTTAATTAAAGAATGGGTTTGACGATGGGGAGGAATGTAATGTGGAAAATCAAGTACCTCCTAGAGAAGAAATTGTAAGATTAATTAAGGAATGGGTTTGACGATGGGGAGATATGTAATGTGGAAAATCAAGTACCTCCTGCTTATAATGGATAATTCAGTAACTTGTTTCACATGAGAAACATTTGCCGGAATTGTCCACAAACTGCAAAGCACATAACACAGAAAGAAGACTTTGCCTCGCTTACGTAAGTCTACTTGATCTTGATTACGACAAGCCTAGTCATATATTGGGACGAACCGCCTATCGATCTATCAAACATGGTCTGGCCACACACCGTCAACACATTACGGGAAAAATAAGTTGTCGCAGCCTATTTTAAGGTAGTCTATGCACCAGTGTTTTGCTCAACGGAATAAGAAAAACCTCGATCTTCTAATATTCGAGCCCGAGACCTTTGCATTAAGAATCACATTTCTAACCATTCCACCTCGACGTCGGTCTTCCGTTGTCATTTGATAACCCGTGCAAATGATACAGAGTTGTTAAATTACTTATGAACCGACCTTCGTCTTATGAAGATATCACTGTAAGTAATGCGTAACTAACTTAATTCAGCAGAGCCCATGAGAAGCTACTCAAGAAATATTGTCTCATAGAGCCCGAAACTGGTCCCTATCATGAGCCAGCGGAATCCAGTCAACCGCTCCAAGCCCTGCCTCCATAAGACTCATTTTAATATTATTCTCCCATCTATGCCTAGATCTACCGGTTGATCTCTTCTCTTCTGACCTTTCAACCAAAAATGTCTGCGCATTTTTCGTCTACGTGTCCGCCCTCCTCATCCTCCTTGATTTGATTATCCTAATAATACTGGCAAACAATGCAAATTAAGGCCCAACAGTGTACTCATAACCTGTTCTCAAACATTTTAGTTTGTGTTCTCCCCTTAACGTGAGAGATTAAGTTCCGCGCCGTATAAAACAGAAATAATCATATTTCTTGTATTTAAATATTTACGATTTTAGGCAGCAAACAGAAAGACAAGCGATTTTTAATTGCATGACAGCAAATATTCCCGAATTTTCTTCGCGTATGTAATGTTGATTTCTTACCCAAGGTTTGAACTTTGCCATATTCAATGTGTGAAGAGCAAGTAATGTGATTTATAGAAATACGGGGTGACTGTACGTCTAGTCTGAGTCGATCTTTGTTTCTTTCGTAGCTTTTCATTTCTTCTTTTTTCTCTCATAATTTTTCTTTCTACTTTTTATTTCCGTTATCTGCTGGTTTTTTTTCGTTTTCAGTTATCAATAGTTAGCATCTCTGTTTATAGACCGATACTCATTTCATCGTTTTCTTATTTCACGACGAAACTGGGGGAATCCCTATGTATCAGTGGCACGTGTATTAAAAGTATTATAGTACACCTGTTCAAGCAGATATCAAGGGTCACAATGCCAACATTTTCAAAACATAACATAAAATCAGGAAGTGAACACAGTCTTTATTAGAATAGAATCTGTTAAATTAATCAGTTACGCCTATAGCCACACTGGAAACATGGCTCATTAACCTCAGTACTCGTATTCAGTCAGGCAAACTGCCGCTACATGAGGCAGACGTACTCAAAGGTAACTTCTATTTGAAATGTTTTGATGTGATGTACATCTGACGAAATACGACGAAAATGCTCTATCGGTAGCGTTGTCAACAATTAAGTGAACATCGCTGCCGTTTGGTTAGCACTCCAGCTGCATCGAAATGCGAAAGTCCTGAGTTAGAAACCCAGCCCGGAGGTCGGATATAATTAAATGAGGCCTTACGTGGTTGTCCTTAGTCCCTTTTTTATCTTGAAATAGGCTACGACATTTTCCACATACTTTCCAATTCGCCATTCAGAATCTTCTATTCGACTCCATTCAACCCAGCTGAACCCAAAGATTCAATTGGCTTCGACAAAATTCGATTTTGGAGATGTACATTACAAAGTTTTTTTTTCGAACGGTTTTATATAACTCTTACATTACATAAATCTGAGATTTAACTTTACAAAAGTGGCTCTTCGTACCGCAGAAATTAATTTGTATATGATAACCTCATTTGAAGCAACTTTTATTTAGAACATAATTAACGAAATGCAAAGGCTAATTCGTGATTCTACGTAGCATAATATATGTAGTGTGGTCTTTTTTGTATCTGAAGAAATTAATGTCAAGGCTAATTACATTCAAAATAACAAAGAATATATTCTAAGATACGTGTAGGCTATTTGTTTCATGTTAATTTTCGCATTTTAAATCATGATAAATGCCACACAGCCAAACAACACGCTGCTGGTATCATGGACAAGAAGATTGTAATAACATATTAAGAAATGTGCGTCATTATGAGACCAGATTTATTCCACACAGCAGAGCTTACTTAATAGACCAACAGTGAATTAATTAAGTAGGTGTACGACTAAGAATGCGGCAACTCCATCACTGCTTCGAGTTCTATACATTGAATTCTCAAGACATTACTACGGAAAAGGTTCCGTGACTTCAACGAAATCCAATTTTGCTTTCATATTAGTTACATCTAACCCCCTTGCTCTAAAAATACTAAAACAACTCAGAATAAATTCATAGTAGCAAGAGTAAAGTTTAGAAGTTTCTGCAACGCCAAAACGTGAACGAAATAAGCCTGTAATTGCTTATAAACATTATGCCTACATCATTAAAGCAGTTTTATGTCAAAGCAATATTGACGCTAACAATATTAGCGGCGTTCTTAACTGTCTTGAAGGAGAGATTAAAACGTTTTTATTACAGCGATTAAACTGGCTGTTTTAAGTTAACTGCGTTTCTGTGGTTATATTCGGGACTTCTTTACTGCCTGCTATGATTGAAAGGCAAATTTTATATATTAATTTCTCAGATTTATGCTGATCGCAAAACTTTGATTTTTCCGTAGATCAAGGTAAAGTTAGCTTTCCAAAGAGTCGTCGTACAGCTCCGTACATGTATACTCACAATTTCAATAAGCGAAAAACACATACATAGTTATATAGCAATAATAATATCCTGACGCCTCATTAATTTAAGATGTTTTCCAGAAACTACTATGTAATGGTCCACAGGGACAAGGTTTGATCCTGGCTCAAGGACAGATACCCTGTAACATGATGTATGATAACAATAATAATGATAGCTGCATCTTCCGTTGTTTTACAAACTAGCAGCAGAGCGTACGTTTCTGTGGTTGCGCAATGACTTTGTAAATTAAATGCTCATTACCATAACCTCCCAAACCATTCTTTAATTTATCTTGTTATGCAATCTGGGCCAAAAGGTCAAATTTTTAAATTGACCCTTGGAAGAAGCTTGTTGCAATAGACCAATCGACACTGTGAGATATTCCCACTGCTCCTTGAAAAATACTGTCCGGACATAGTAATGAAATGCCTCCCCCCCACCGCCATCACACCTTCATAATCATCCTTTTTGTCATTTGAATAAAAATTTTCTTGGATAATCCAAGAAAATTTTTATTCAAATGACTCATCACCATCGTCAAGAACTTTTAGATTTGACATCCTTTTTTTACTTGAAAACGTCGTTAAATAACCCATGCATTAGTTATACCAAACAGATTAGTTAAAAAGTGTCGCTTTTGAGCTCGTCAGGATGCTGCCGGTTCGAACTCCAATCGGGCCAGACTAGTTTTCTGTCGAAGTTTTATCACGCAAAGCAAATTCATGGACAGGCCTAATATCTTAAAATAGGTCACGATGGTCTCTTGTTTTCACAGTAACAGACATTCTGGTATGTTCCTCCTAATACTACTTAAACTTAGCAGTCGATACAACTTCCTTTACATAGCTTAAGAACCACTCCCTAATGTAACACTGTCAGGAGTATGCATAGCCTTCTCGATTTTGAACTTCGGTGACTCATTTACCTACAATACCTACAATCTGGGACGCACTACATCAGGAACATTAGATGAAAACTAGACCGCTGACAACGAAATTACGCTCAGTATATTAGCCACTTTACAACACAATGACAATTATATATACCATGTGCTGTTACGTTCAGTAGCTCAGCAAGCATTTGACCCTCACTGTATTTACTCGCTTCGTTTGGTTCTCACAATAAACACTGGTGTTTGCCTTCGTAAAGCAGAGGCAGGGACTAAATGTTTAAATATTATTCATATGAGCTTTGCCCTAACGGTTTGAAGTTACTTAACTAGTGTTCTTGTGAACCAAAGTATCCAAAAACAATAACCATGATACACTTTATGTTCATGACGAATTAACAGTAGAATACGCCTTTCATTGCTTTATGTTAGCTTAATGGTTAGCTCAGGGTAATGTTTGATTTTCCTAAAATAACCCGGTTCGAATCTAAGCCGGGACTGAAGTAATTGTGAGGTTCTTATTGTGGCCTTCCTCACTTCTTTGAGTGAATGTCAGAACATTTCCCTGAAAGTACAGAACCGCTCCCTTTCAAACACAGTCGCTATTATGTAATCTCTACAGTTGATACGGCGTCTGTAATTAATGTTTTCTTCGACTGTGTATATACACACATTCATTGTTTTTCTTTAATATATTTTATCTTCCTTCCTGTCTGGCTATCATGCCTTCTGTCTGTCTTACAGAAAGAAAGACAAAATAGCAGGATGGCCAGACATTGCTGCAATTAACTTCTAATGAAGGTGGGTGCGGTAAGAACCGATTTATGACAAACACTTTAACAATTAAAATAAACTGGCTGTGCCATCCCTATTTGGTTTACTGTTCACTTCTTTTCACGGTGTGCAATATAATTACAAAGTTTCATTTAAAATTTATTTGGATCTGTACAGCATATCAAAAATACAAAAAAGGCAAGTTCTCTCATTATGTTTTACTACTTATGTTGAAAATTGTTTCGCGTCGTTGTAAAAGTCATCGAAATTCATTCAAGAACGCCTCTGACAGACAGCGCGAGGGACATTAGTGCCTCATAAGAGGAATGACAGCAGTTCAAAAACACGTTCGAATGGTGAGGTAGTTTCTGACAGAAACTCGTCATTGATTTCCTGTCAACGTGAAGTCTCATATAACACACATTTTATGGATTGGACGATTAGAGCAGGTTCTTGTTGCCAAGTGCTGAAAGCTAGAGAAAACCTGCCAGACTGCCTCGTTTTGCGTATACACTTCCGCTTGCGACAAATTGGTTTAGATTCTTCTCTCCCTTTTTTTATAGTTATGGTCGCCCCTCAAGAACCCTATCTAGCCCATGTCCTTCCTACTTCCTTCCATGCATTCACCTCAAATAAGCAGCGAATACAGACCGCAATGAAAGACAGAAGGAAAGAAAGAAAGAAAGAAAGAAAGAAAGATGTGTCGTAAATGTGTTTATTGTACGGCTAATTTCACGACGCCCAGATTAAAGAGCACTGAATGATAGGAATTTCAGTGAATAATTAATTGGAAAGAATGTGAAAGGTGCCGGTCGTGGTCAAATTTAAGGTACACTATCCCAGATAGACGGATTCCGAGCCAGATCTGAACTCAGGACCTTCCAAACACGATGCAGCAGTGCTAACCACAAAACCGCGTCGGTAGACCATGTGAGAAACAGATTAGTTTAAATCGCAGATACTCAATTAATGACACAGTATGAACTAATTCAAGTTAAATGATGTAAGGATTCTCAAAACCTACTGTAACAGGTCTGTTCAGGAAGTCCTTTACATTCATGACATCAGAGGCTCTGTTTTCATAACGGGACAACTTTTTTCGAGTCTGAGAATGTACATATGGTTGGTCTCAACGTCTCTTTCGTTTAATACTAAACATAAAGCCACATTTGAGCTCTGAAGAGGGAGACAGAATGTTTCTCCGAAACGCTGGTTTCTACTGACAAGTCTACAGGGCGCCAAAACCCAGAAAAATATCATCCTCACCACTGTGAAAACCTCAAATCTCACATGGATGAATATAAATAACATCCCACTGTTTTAACACGTAGAATAAAAACATGTAATAAATGGTAAGTTACAGTGAATGTGGTTCCCAAACTTGTAACTCTGATTCCATTATTATAAATATTTGCACAGGTAGTGTATGATTGATAATTACTCCCAATCTTATTTCAGTTACTTAAGTTAAAACATATTATTGTTTCATCCAGATGTTCATTTGAAACCTCCTACCAAAGTAGTGAGACTGGTATCTGAACCATTCTGGAGCAATTGCACCACCTTAAATCTTTCACATTTTGTTAACAAAGCATTCATTAAATTATTATGAATAAACTCTTGGGAAACAGTACAAGAATCACCTATGCTCCCACATAGATGAAACACTGGATTTACCTCTGCTTAAAACATCGTGACTTATGATTTCAGAGCAGGACAAAGGCGCCAAAGAAGACTAGCATTCAGCATTTGATATCACTATGGTAGCAAAAGCAAAATGTGGCTGTAAGTAAATTTATTTGCATACTGATTCACTGGTATTGAAATAACTTATAACAGAAGTTATGGGAAGAACTGTCCTTATAATCCCTTCAATCTTCTATAAATTCATTATTACATAATTTAATAATTAATTTCTGTGCATAATTTCCACTAGTAAAATAAAGTAAAGTTTGTCCCGCTACATACTGTAAAGGCGCTAGATGGGGGTGAGTGGTCGGCATCACGCCCCTGCCGGCTTTACCCCTGGGAAAGGACCCCGATACCCATTGTAGAGGAGGCTGGGTGGGCCCCAGAGCCGGTCTGGACGCAAGAGGCTAGAGGAAAAATCCTCTGCCCCCGTCGGAGATCGAACCCCGGCCGTCCAGCCCGTAGCTAGTCACTATACTGACTGAGTTATCCCGGCTCATAATTCCCACTAGTATGTATTCTAATTACCGTACTCTGAACTGTCCAGATCTTATTGCTCAAGATATCATCACTTTTAGCTGTGAAAGCTTCAAGTTTCCTTCATCAGATTTAATGTACATAATGTCAAAGTGTCACTTTGTCACCACGTTTGTACTTTGTAACATTTAAACATGTTTCGTACAAGGTTTGTGGTATGCTTATGATTTATCTCAATACAAAACTTCATATGCCTAATACCAATGGCTCATTATCATCAACAAACTTAAAGCAAAGTATAGATTTGTCAAGGCTGCCATATTGCGTTTTACAGTCTACAAAAAATTCTTAATAAAATTGAATGTTTTTCATATACCTATTTTACATAACATGTCAGGACCCTACACTAAGTGTTGCTTATGTCACTCCCATTTCAGAAATTCACAGGACCATCATTTTTACATTATTAATGGAAACAAATGAAGTATTAGTGACATAAAATTCTCAAGTAAAGATTCATTAGTTTGTTCAGAGGCTATTACAATGATATCATAAGTCTATCTTACCCTAAAATTTCAATTCAGATTTTGTACAGTCAAAAAAGAAAGTACTTTTTTATATTACAGTAGAATGATAAAATGTCTTTTCTTTATCTAACAGATGGGATCCACAACCAAAATGTGTCACTTGCTGCAAATAGCACTGAAGTTGAACTCGATTCAGGGGACAACCTGCCCACAAAGCCTCCAAAAAAGATGGAGCTCAGGCGAGAACTGGGCCTGTTCAGTGCTGTCAATCTTATTGTTGGTGTGATGATAGGTACTGTGTCTTCAGCATCAGAATTCATCGGCGTACCTAATTATTTTTCCTGAAAACGATGCCATGCTGTAGCCATTCAATCAAAATATATGAAAACTAATTCATTTTGTTCAAAATTTTGTATTCATTTGTGTAACTTATACCTCCAATTTAAACAAGGTACTGGTCATGATCAAAGCATGAAGAATGGGATTGGTGGGACATGTAGCATGCATGGCAGGGATAAATTCTTACAAAACGTTGGTTCAAAAATCACTTTACTGACTGGGCTATCATGTCTCATCTAAACATACAAAGAAATGGGCATCAGTGAATTAAATGTCATATGGAGGATAGTCTCACTTAATACCATCTCTGCTGGGTATTTAATCCATGGTTAAACTGACTAATGTAATACTTTGGCTCACAGTTGTGACCAGGTCAGTCCATGTGGTGTCTGTATGGGCAGAGTGACACTGTAACAGGTTTTTCTCCAAGTTCCTTAGTTTTCCCTGACAGAATCAGTCCACTACTCCTCCATATTCACTCATATACCATCTGGGGAATGGACAGAGGCCCAATTCCAGAGATACATAGTCTCACTCCATCATTAAAAAACAATAAATATTTTTATCAAATAAACTGACACTTCTATAGAATGTATGTCAAAAATGTATACATCATTTGCTTGCCAAATATTCATACTTGAATCTGTATATGTTCTATGACAAGTTGGTAACAATGGTTGGAGAAACAAAATATTCTGATGATTAGCTGCAATGTCATGAGTCATCATTGTTACTAAAAGTCTTAATAAAATTAGATAGACTGTAAACACCAATGGTACTGGCTACAGCAATTCTGTAACTATCTATAGGGCATGTCAAAGATTAGCTGTCATGTCATTAGATGAAGAAGCAAGAGGGTTTTAGTCATGCTATTAACTTCGCCACTTAATAAAATACAAATATCTGAAGCTTCATCTTATAAGACATGATAGACAATTTATTTAAAAAGTGGAATACAGATGGAACAGGTTTTATAATACAATCATTAATGATATCTATTGTCTGTGTTCTACAGGTTCTGGTATCTTTGTGTCTCCTGCAAGTGCTCTCGAGAGATCTGGATCTGTGGGTCTGTGTCTCATCATCTGGGCTGTATGTGGCAGTATATCCTTACTGGGTACAACATCTATTCTATTTCTGTAATTGGATCTGTTTGTAAAGATGTAACTGAATGTTTGATAAAATATCCTATGTATGACATTATAACAGAGTTAAAGGTATGTTTCAATATTGTGGCACTTTCTGAAAGAATCTCTGTCTGTCATTAGTTACGTACCTCTACTCTGTTTAGTGCTACCCAATTTTCAGAGCTTTAAGCAAGTTGGGTGAAGCTCTGCACAACTTTAATTTAAAAGGTTCCCAGTACAAGTACTGATCTAATGTTTTTTTTTTGTCAGCACCTCCAGACAAATGTCAGATTGATACCTTGAAACAATTTATGTTGGTTGCTAAAGTAAGTCAACATATGGACTTCTCTGGATCACACATATTTAACTTCAAGTATTTTTCTTCAATCACGATAAAATTAAATGAGACTGTTATGTAATATTAGTTTTTTATCCCACAGGAGCATTAGCATTTGCAGAACTTGGAACTGTTGTTCCCAGGTCTGGAGCAGAGTACGCATATTTCCAGGAGGCTTATGGAGGGCTACACAGGTTCTGGGGTCCACTACCAAGTTTCATATGTGCCTGGGTTTATGTTGTCATACTCAGGCCAGCCGAAGTTGCTGTCATAATACTGACATTCTCAGAGTATGTCTGCCAACCATTTGCCTACCACATGAGACACATGCCTGCAGAGTCTCAAGAAATAGTTAAGAAGATCATTGCCCTCCTTGGACTAGGTCAGCAACCATCTGTGTGCTTCAGAGTCCTTGCACCATTACTAAAGAAGTACTTTTTGTTAATGAACATACTGTGTGTTTGTATCTGAGAGGAACCAGGGTGAAAACTCAGTCAAGAGGAGGACACTGGGTTTTAGCATGGTTTTACTCAATTTATCCAGACAATATATAGATCATAACCAATTTAATATTTTCCAAATTCATTATCATGTATCAATTGATGCTGTGTAGTCTATGCATTTGATGAAGCATCACTGGGAAGACATTCCTTTTCCTTCAATAATTCATCTCTTGACAACATCAGCATGATTTTTTAAGTCAAGTTAACAGAAGTGAAACCAAAAGATGGACCCTTGAATACAAGCAAGAATATTAACTACTCAACCATGATAAGAATTTTAAATTCCTTATACGTTATCAAAAGAATATATATACTCTGTTACAATAAATCAGCATGGGCAAAGAATGGGTGATTTTGCTAGTAATTTCTATCACGCTAATATTTTAATTAATTTATTAACTCCATGAGTACCAACTATGAATCTGACTTGCAGGATTAGTTACCAGTCTAACATTAAGTTTCTTCCAGTAATTCTTACCATTTTTGCCAATTAAGTAGACTTTTCATGGCCAATTCCTGAATAACAATGCATTTTTCTTAGGTCTGTTGACATACATAAACTTCATCAGCGTGAAATTGTACATCCACATACAGAACATATTTGGATCTTGCAAGTTATTTGCCTGCCTTGTTGTCATTTTCGGAGGTCTTTATGAATTGTGCATTGGTAAGTATTTGTTCAAAAACAAAATGAAACTGTACACTAGGATATGATGTGGTAAAATGGAAGGACGTGGTTGTGGCCTATTGCAAGGTACTTTTTCAATCTCCAGATCACTGTTTTCTTAGAGGTTTGTCCACAAACGTTTTTATTTTGTTTCCCCCCACCAACCCAACCTATCTACATGCCCATCCCATCACAAACTCTTGCATTTCACTGTCCTGACAAGACTAGTTGTTCTGTATAATCATAAAGTTCCTGATTATGTAATATCCTAAACTGCTTATATGCTTCAACTTCTCAGGTCCAAATATATTTCTGGTCACTTTCTTTCAAATAGTTGTAATTTATTCTCTTCCCTCAAAGTAAGAAATTATGTTTCACAACTGTATTAAGTACTTGTTTGGTATTTCCTGATACCATACTTGACATTTTGTAAAGTAGACAGGATGAAGTCCTCATTTCATGTGTGTTAAATACAAAAAAATAGAATAAATATTTTTAAGTTTTTCACACCCAGTAATTGTATGGTATATGCTGCAATATTTCAGATAAATATTTCATCTGAGGTTTCAGATTCTAATGGTGGTGAAGATGTCAAAGTTGGTCTTCTGGGTTGTGGCACCATGGGGACTTGTAGGTGGGTACCAACTACCAGCGTTTCAGAGAAACATACTACCTACTTCTTCATGCACGAAGTGAGGATGTTAGGAAGTGGATGGTTTAGAAAGAAGTCGACATAGTGTTATGACCCAAAAGACCACTACTGACAAAAATTAAATCTGTTTCAATTTCAAATAGCTTCTTCCTGATATTTACAGTGCTAATTTCAATTCTACATAAATGAAAAGTGGAGGAAAAATCTATCAATATAAAAAACATTGATCATGTAACCAGATTCTGCATCCTTTTTCCACATTATTTAATACACTTTCAATGTTTCTGCTTTAAATAAAAGGCATTAATTTTTTTCCTAATATTTAAACCTGTTAAGAGATCAGTGGTTTAATTATAATTAATTCCTCTCAGGCTACCAGCCATGTCAGGTGGTTGAATGGAGAATGTTTCTATCTCCATTCAACCACCTGACACGGCTGGTAGCCTGAGAAGAATTCATTATACTTAGTTGCCATGAAAGTTTTAGGTCATACTTAAGTAGTTTAAGTCACTGCCAGAAAAATTTTAAGGATTGGATCAACTTGTTAACTGTTATGGGTAGAATAGTTCTAAGCATGTTGTGTGATATGGATTGAACTGTTCTAGAGACTATATTATCATCAAAATTTGGTTTTGAGAAATTCCAGGGAGAGAAAATAAAAGTAGAAAATCAATGCAAAAGTTTTAAGGTAAAAAGAAATATTTATGTTTGCAGAAATGATATACAATTATGATTCTGACAAACTGGTGACTACTGGCCAATATATCATTTATTTTACTAAGGCAGTCGTGTTTTATCACTTGTTACAGCATCTGCAATATATTTATCAAACCAGCAGGAAGCCATAATTAAACTGCATATTGATGTAATATTCACTGTAGCCTACAACAGATACAGTCTGCAGAACTATTTGTTCACATTATAAAATCTGATTTGTATGTTTCTTGGTACACTTACATGCTACTACCTCACTTAGCATTAATTGACAATTAAAATATAAGTGCTTAACTACATACCTTGATTCTTATTGCCATACAGGAAACACAGAGAATCTCACAAAAGGTTTTGAGGGCTCAACTACTTCTCCCACAAACTTGGCTCTTGCATTCTACAGTGGTCTATGGGCTTTTGATGGTTGGTAAGTACCTGAAAAAATAATGTAATAATTAATGCAATGGGTAACTAAACAGGAAACACAAAAAAGAATTTTAATTATAATATCCCATAAGAAATCATTGAGGGGAGAAAATACAAGGCTAACATTAAAATGGATCTTGGAAAAATAAACTGATGAGATTAAAACTGATGGTTACTCATAAGCCATGAACGGGACTAGGATATTACAGAGATAAGAAAGTGAAAGTTGCAGGCTATTTATTAAAAAGGCAGTAGTCACTAAGCTAGTGGAACCCAAAGGTTTATTACTACTTTCACAAAAGTCTGCCATTGGAGCCCTATCCTGAGACAACCGGAAGCAACCCATATGATCACACACAATGTATCCACAATCCACTTTCATATTATATTTCATTTTCACCTAGGTGTAGCAAGTGGTCTCTTCCATCAAGGTTTTACAACCCACATTTTATATGCATTTCTCATCTCCATCATGACATATATCACTCTCTTTTATTTAATCACCCTAATACAGGCTGATGATTACTAATTATGAAGTTCCTCATTCTTAAGTAATCCTTAAAAATTAAAACTTTTTTTCAGATAGAAAATAGAACATGGAAATTCAAATTCTGAAACTGGTAAATTAATTCTGCTGGAATCAAAGACCTTTCATAAAACAAAGCACTTAGTCTGAATCAAATGATTTTACTTTGTCAACCATCTCTATTTCTGAAACAGTGCCTAAAAGGGATTGCAACATGATTCTCTGCACTTAATTATTCTTAAACTGTGTTATTGGAAAATAAACAAAGATGTTTCAGGAAATAATCTACTAGCAGTACATTTGGACTGAACAATGCCAGAGAATTAGTATTAGTGTTTTAAATCTGAAATAATTTTAACATATTTTGCAAACCTAACACTATTAACAAGAGGGATAAATCCATAGAGGTATTTGTCAAGTGGTACTGCACAATCCCTTAACTCCCATGGATTCACGGCAAATATAAAATTAAAAATATGTCTACAGCATTAAAACAAGTAAAGTAAGTGAGATTTGAGGTTTTCAAGGTGCTGATGCTGCTAATATTTTTTAGGTTCTGGCACTGTGTGTTCTGTAAACTAAATACATTGACAAGTGAGATGTTCAGAAGTTGGGCATTTCTGAGCTCAAGTAGTGGGATTTGAGGAAAAACAGGCTGAGAAATGCTGTTCTTGTATATCATTGCTGAAGTTGTAATTTCTTACTTAATATCCACTTTGTGTGTTTCTTTAAATGTTGTCTTGTGTAACACAATAACAGGAATATGCCACACCACAATATGAATTTACTTATGACTGTTGTATGAATCCAACTTAATGAGGGTGTTTCTATCACACAGGTCCACTGTCACGTCTGTTACAGAAGAAGTGAAGAGACCAGAAGTGTAAGTGCATGAACATGAAGCTTCTTACATCACACCAAAGGTTTATGTTTTAAAATAAAATTACTAATTTGTGTTCAACTAATTTCAGCAATATTCCACGAAGTATCATTATCGCGGTTCCTCTAGTGACTACTGTATACTTCATGATGAATGTAGCTTACATGACAGTCCTCACTATTCCAGAAATGATTGCAGCACCTGCAGTGGCTGTGGTAATTATTACAAAATATTCTAACTGAATATGGTATATTAAAAAAAATATGATATCTAAAACTTTGAAAAGATTATATGATTTATGAGTGTTTACTCCAAATGACACCATCAATGTTAAATCTATTCTGTTTCTCTTTACTGCACATTCAGATGCAATATAGTTACATTTAGTCTTTGATAACGATGATACACATTATTCCTAAATTTAGATGATCATTGCTTTACTTATGAAACATAATATCCTTCCTTCGCTAGATTCATTTCTCTAAAAATCAACCTAGTATACTCCAAAAGATTTTTAACAGTTCTAATTTTTCTTTCTTAACATGGTGATAAGAAGTGTATATTACTATATAATGACCAATGATGACATTGTAAAATGTACAACTTAACAGGTGTTTAGAAGCAAAGAATGACAAATTGTATTAAATTTGTCATTTATTAAAAGTAAAAATGTGAAGACAAATTTAAATTGGACTGTAAGTGAAGCTAAAGAATTTGGAAGCATTTTGAGAGCTTATATTTGATGGAACAATGTCTCAAATAAAATTTACAGGAAAGTTACATACTTCAGTTTTCTATGTAAGTACAAATCTGGTGATCAAGATTAGAGACCAGTAACAAAACACATTTAGTGCTGCCTGTGCACTTCATGCAGTGTTTAACATACCAGAGTATCCTATATTATCCTGCTGTGTGTTGAAATTCTGTCACCACAATAGCAATAGTCTTTTCTAAATTCTGGACAGGTCACACATGGTTTCCCAGAGCATACAATAAGGTTCCTGTACAGGTAAATATTTTTCTGATATATTTCCTATTCAGTAGAGTACGAAACATGGGCATAATTTACTGCTATTGCTTTCCAGTTTCACTTTAGAGTACACCAGTAACAAAGTCCATACTTATTTGATTTACTGACTGAGATATCCTAGTTCCCAGTATCAAGAATTTTGCACTTTAAGTAGGTGCCATTTTTGTTATTTCAGGTCTTTGGTGATAGAATACTGGGAGTAATGAATTTTATCATTCCCCTTGGTGTAGCACTGTCTACATTTGGATGTGCTTTAAGCATTCAATTTAGTGTCACAAGACTATGCTATGTGGCTGGGAGGGAAGGCCATATGGTGGAAGTATTCTCTTACATCCATATGAAACGTCTCACTCCTGCTCCTGCTGTGGTAACACAGGTCAGTAACGTGTTATATTACTATCTAATTTTCAGTCTGTCCATAAAAATATAATATATTAATGAATACAGCTCCATTATTTCAACATATTGACTTGAATTACAGGACTTTATGTTTATTGGATAAAGACCAAACAAGAATTTTGGAAAGAATATGTGATGCCTAATTTCAGTACTTTAAAACCATCTACAGTGCATGTCCACATAGATTACATCAAGCCTACTTTCTACAGTTTCCCAAGTTATGTTGTCAAATTGTTTTATCATTTTGTGGAATACCAATACCTGACTAGATTTCTTAATTAGATTCAGATTTGTGTTTTGTGCCACTCATGTTAAAATCAGCATCATGTGAAATGTTTATATTATGTCTCCTGCCTACAGGTTTCCCATATAAAACTTTCTACATATGAAGATTTCCGTCTTCTGGGTTGTTGCACTGTGTAGTCTGGTCGATGTTAACCAACGTTTCAGAGGTCATACTGCCTCCGTCATCAGCGCAACAACCCAGAAGACGGAAATCTTCATACTCACCACTGTGAGAACCTCAAGTCTTTCTACATATTTCTAACATCTTCCATGCTACGTATCCTGCCCATTCCCAGTTCTTTTATTTGATAACCCTAGTAATATTATGTTTCATAATGATATAAAACTGATTTCATCAGTGACAGTACTGGTTTATTACTGTTAAATCTCTGTAATTTCAAGACTAACAAATTCAGATGCAGACATGAGTTATTATTTGTTAGTTTAAATAAAATAATTCTTTGCTAGTTTAAACAAATTAAGTATTCTTTTTATCCTATGCATTCTTAATGCACATAACCTATGTCACAATGTAATAACAGAAACTTTTCATAAAATTAACTTCCTTTTCAGGGTCTGTTGGCATTCTTCTTCATCATTGTTGGTGATATTACTTCACTTATTGACTTTGCCAGCTTCCTCATTTGGATTTTCTATGGGGCAGCAATGGTAGCACTCATACTCATGAGGAAAACAAAGAAAGATATTAAGCGACCTTATAAGGTACTGTATCTAACATAAGTTAATAATGTGTTCAGAATCTGGAGACACGACTCATTGACATGTAGCACTTCAGGTGATGCGGTGTCATATTCCTCTTATATGAATATATCCTTGTTTTCAGAAGGTACTCACAGAAGTTTGTTGTAATTTAGTAAGTTAATATTTTGTAGTTAACTTGGACTGGCTCTCTCTTTTCAAGTAAAGGAGGTTACAGATTGACAATGGCCTTTTGCTTTTACCTAGTACCAATGCTAAAAAAGAATTTGTACACTTAAGTAATACCATCAACATTAATAAATATAATGAGTTTTGATGCTGAATTATCATCTTCAGATGGAGTACATATTGCTATCCACTTAAATCACACATGCCCATTACATATTCTTAAGTCGAATCTATATTACTATTCCTATGCCCAAGCATTATTATCCTTATCACAGTAATAACTAATGATTTCAGGTTCCATTATGGATTCCAGTATTCATCATCTTCATTGCACTCTTCTTATGTTTTGTGCCTATTATCACAGACCCATCTCCAAGATACTTCTTTGCTTTACTATTCATTGGAATTGGAATGGCAATTTACGCCCCTCTAGTTTATTATAGACACCGACCTCAGTGTATGGGTGAGTCTTTTTATTTTCTCCTAATCAAATACAACAGTTAGACCAATATCTTTTGGTCTTAGTCCATCATCTAAATTGTAAAACTACAATATTTTGGAAGCTGGATTGTATTTCTGTCCACTGGTTAAAATGAGGACAATGACAGAAAACCTGTCTTTTAAACTCTGGCTGAGCTAGTCTCAGATTTTGACTTGGTCCACATCACATTAATATTAAAATATGATAATACTGATAATATTGTCAGTTACAAGTTGCTAATACATGGATGTGTCTTGTTTTCATGTTTCAGATAAATTTACCTATTTTATACAAGTCCTCATGGAGGTAGTTCCTAGCGAGCAAAGTATGGACTAATATTTTAATAATTACAGTTCGTTATCAAGACTGACAGTTCATAATTATGTAACTGAGTGATCTTCTACAAAACTCAGAAATTCTGTGTGTACAAATGTATGAATGAGTTTACATTTTTCATGTAAACAAAACATAACATGTAAATGAAAGAATGCACATGGAGGCAGTTTGGGTCGAATTTGAGCAATAAAATATATTTAAACCACTTCTAACCTGCACGTGTCTGCAATGTGCCCATCTCTTTCTTCATATAAGACATACAACTTTCACTTTATGTTTTTCACTCACTTATATACCTTCAACATACAAGATAATTCACACAAATTAACATTTCGCGGTTTTTATTTCGGAATTCCAAATGACTGTACTTTGTTCACTGTATTACAACTTGTACTAGTAATTGATAATTTCATAGCATGTAGCACTACGTGTTATTCAAAGTTTACCGCTCAATTTCCCACAGATTATATTAACCATAGATAACCTAAGCAACTATGCCGCTACCCCGTAAACAAAGTATGCCAGCGAGGCACATCATATTCTGCTATTAGTATCTTGAGCTACCGTAAGAGGCGTTAATCCACCTCCAGGATAGACAACACATGCTTTCATACACTAGCCAAAGTTCCTACTACCAACTGTCTACAGATAGGTAAGTAAAAATTAAATAACGTTTCAAAACTGTAAACACCGGTAAGAAAACATTTCACTTGCTGATTACAGTTTAGCGTAGGTGAAAAACACCTTATGGACCTGTCTGTCTGTCATTTCTTTAGGCCGAGGTGGTCCTTGCTGACAAGTTACAAATAAGATACACACAATCAACATGAACACTTCATCATAAACTTTGTGAAATTTAAAATTATGGCATATAGATAATCCGTGATTATGAAGTTGCACATTTTTGATGGTGTTAGTGAACAAAATAGTGAGAGTATTTCAACAATAAGAGAGACAATGTAACAGGAGGGAGGAGTAAACATCAAAACAAAGAGCTTCATAATTTGTACTTTTCACTTGATATTATTATCAGCGACCTAATCAACGATAATGAGACAGGCAGATGACGTATTACGCACTGTAAAGATAAGAAATACTTGGTCGGAAATTCTGAAGGGAGGAGACCTAGACGTAAACGAGGGATAGATATTAAGGAAATTGGGTGTGAGGGTGTAGACTAATCATCTAGTTCAGGACTGGGTCGTGTGAACACTGCATTTAACGTCAGAGTCCAATAAAGACGTGGACTTTGCTAAGAAGTTTAAGGAGTATCATCTTCTTCAGAAAGCCGCTGCTCTAAGAAAAAGATTCACGACGTTTATTTTTTATATAAATGTATATTCTTTACCGCGGAAACTGCTGACAATAACAGGCCCAACATTACGTTCCTTACACGCCTACACTTTGCATGTGTTTGATTATGGTGTTGACGGGGAGGAGGTGGCAGAAGTCGATGTGGAGGAGTGATATAAGTTTCTTGGTAAATGTGATGACAACCTAAGTGAATTTCTACTGGAGAGAAAGAAGTACGTCGTCTAACACAATTGTCAGCACCTCAAAGCTCGTTTGCTGCATCAGGTATAGGCGTTTCTTTTGTCGTGTTTGTACTTTCAGATGCACAATTAAAAATAGATTGTTCTACGTAGAAACGAGGTTCTTTCCAAAATTAGTTTTGTGTGATGCATCCATTATGTCAGCGCATACACCATGGTGATATATTCTTACATTATTAATGACGTTGTTTTATGAGTAAAGCCATATAGGCCTATAAATAACTTGTTGACATATTTACTGGCGAGGGGATGAATCTTTGGGTTTCATCAAAGGTGAGAAATTTCCTGACTAGTTAAGCTGCTCCATGGAAAGTGCTTTCGTTCCATATATGACTAAGGCATAGTCGCTCAGGTGCTCAACATACATTTGTTATGGAATTACGTCTAGTACTGAGGTCTGGAGCTATACTCCACTCCCCAATACGTCTGCATGACGTGCCGCTTACTTAAGTACCAAGGACAACTCTTCCCTTACTTCGGCTATATCATTTAATGTTTGAACCCGTCTATATAGATATTATGATGGCTTATATACGAAGACCGTGCCACGGTGGTCTAGCGGTTAGAAGGCTGGCCTTGTAATTCTGGGGTCTCGGGTTCGATTCCCAGCGGTGCCCGAATTTATAACTTGTGTTGGGCAAGGCCGTGGTCTAGGCAACACGGAGTTTTCCTCCGGGGGCTTCCCCATTTTCTCCGTGGCACTCCATTCACACACAGAAGAAGGCAACGGCAAACCACTTCTGGATCATCTGCCAAGAACGTATATGAACAGGTCCCAGTCCGAGAAAAGGAGGGAAGGATCCGGTTCATATGGACCTGTCGTCAGACAGAACAAACAAAACTTCCAGTTTGTATAGAAAATCTTCTCAATATCAAAGTGCTGTTAGGTCAGTAAAATCGAAGACGTTGCTTTGGTTCAATTCTGAAGGGTTTTGACGGTGGTGGATTACACTTCAAATTGTTCATTATCTGGACTTTTTCCATCGTTCTTGTCTAAAAGAAAGAAACCGCGACGTTTCGGAAACTGGCTCTTATTACTTTGGGTTTCGTGTTGGAGGGAGCAGACAACAAACTTGCTTATAGAATTTTTCTGGGGGAAATTTTTGCAGACCGAAAAGTAGTCTACATTTGGATGTGACATAAATATATTTATTTCAGGAGAATTATTCGTGTTTTTTCCGTCTAATCACAATTGTATATAAATAAAATGATACATAAGATATTAAAATATCATTTACATATTTGGTACAACTTTTTACAAAGTAATTAAATTTTAATTCACAATATGACGCAATTATATCAACTTATGAATAACATTCAGGAGAATGGCTAGAGAAAACGCGTGATGGGTGAAAATGGGTTAGGATAGTGTCCAATGGTGTTCTTTCTTTATTATAATTGTTTATCTTCCTGGTTATATTGACTAAGAGATGATTTGGTTCATATTTGTTCGTTAGATAACTTGAAAACCAATCCGTCGTAAGAAAGAGTCTTGTCGGTATAAAGAAATCTTAACCGCTTTGTAGACTAAGATAATGCTGACCTATAAAGTCAAATTAATCGCAAGGAAATCTGAGAAGACGGCAACACTAATATAACACCGAAGCCTGAATTCGAAAAACCATGAATATCACGTTATATGCCTCCTGTTAATTTAGAGCGTGTTTAGCAACAGAATAATAAGTTCAATTGTGTCTATTCGCAATGATGTTAGTCAACCCGATAGTAGGTTTACTAGAACATAAATCGAAATAGCTATATCGTATTACGCATATTATTTTTTTATTTCCACTTAGACTTTGGGTGCACGAGAAGTGTGGGCTGAGGATCCATGTAGAATACTGTAGGATCTCTCCACGAAGAAAAAGTTGAAAAATGCTGGGAAAATATGTGCACACATACCAGACATCACTCTCAGATTTATTTTCGGGCTTATATTTTAAAATCAGCTAAATCAGCTGAACATAAAATTAATGTACGTATTTTTAAATAACATTATTCCGGCTTCATACGGGAAAGCACCGTCTGGTTAATGCGTGACACAACCATTTCTCTTTCTCGTTATATTTATGTTTAAAGGAAAACCATTATTTTACCTAACAATCATGATGAGCAAAGCAGTACAACTTATACAATCTTAATTACAAGTCTGCTATGAATATCAGATAAAATTTAATCCTTTGTAAAATAACTTCAAGCTCTGGAAAGGACTTGTCACCACTTTCTACGTCAACATATATTGTGAGTCTAACAAAAACTATACTTTAATGATTAGGTCTATAAATCAATTATCCATTTATGGACATATAATTTGTGTTAGAACAAATTCCGATAGCATTAAATTTGTTAGACACAGCATGAAATATCCGCACCGCCGCCATTTTTGTAATTTTAACACATAAGAATAGAACAAAGAAAGAATAGAATTAGAAGAAAATAAAACTTGAGACTCTTAAAATATATAAATATTTAAAATAACCGTCAATCACAATAAAATTTAAAGATTAAAAGATTTAAAATATCATATTATGTTCCCTATCGAGTACTCGATTTACATATGGAACTTACACAACATGTTTCGGCTAAAAGTAGCCATCTTCTGGTGTATTATATATAAACTTTTTACTGAATTGCTTTTTACAATTTTAATGACTTTTAATGATTTTTCTTCTGATGTTTTGTCCTTTATATTGATTCACTATTCGTTGTAGTATCATTTGTTGTGGTATCCCAGGTCGCAAATATGTTAATTTTGTATTGCGTATTGATGTCGAATTTCGTATATGGACTGTGAAGTAAATGTTTTAATATTAATGAAAATGAATATAGAAAACAAAATAATTAGTTGAAATAAATTATGTAGACTTACCAAGAAGTAATATTGTAATCCTATTTGGAGACATGTTGTGTAAGTTCCATATGTAAATCGAGTACTCGATAGGGAACATAATATGATATTTTAAATCTTTTAATCTTTAAATTTTATTGTGATTGACGGTTATTTTAAATATTTATATATTTTAATACTATTCACAATATAACGCATCTACAATACCTTTGAGACTCTTAGTTGTAGGCCTGTAACCACACACATTAATAGAAATACCTAGATGATTGAGATACTTAAAAGTCGATAATATATTAGTTGAAAAGATCATTGCATATAGGAACAGATAGAAGTAAACTGCAGAAGGAATGTTAAACACCGACAGCTGAAGAGATAATGGATCTACAAACGTAAAAGACAAAAATTAAAACAAAACCAGAGACAATAGAGAGAAGATTTTAAGACCGGCAATGGCTTAATGAGTAATGACTTAAGAGGAGTCGGTGTAAAATATCGACTTCATAAGAACTTTGAATGTTCTCAAAATATCATACCAATATTGTAGATCGGATGTGATTCATCCGAACTGCACATTGGTTAGGGTACATGCTTCACAGTGCAAAGCTCAGGGGTTCGATTTACTGGCACATTTCAATCATTCTGTTATCAAGGGAATGGAGGAGTAGAATTGTAATTTAGAGTTAATGTACGAAAATTATGTACAAGCAGGTAAAATTAATCCAAAAGCTTTAATGTTGCAAATTTCGGTTAGTGGTTATTTGTACGTAGATTATAATCCATTATAACTACGACAGTTTCTTTGTTTCATTAC